TATTGATAATATTGACTGTTTTTATAAATAAAAAAAAAAAAAAAAAAAGGAATGAATATATTTGATACAAATGTCTATACAAGTGTATGTATGTCTATACAAGTGTATGTACTTATTAGATAAATAATAATTGGAAAAACTTTTATTTACATGCTTTATCTTAAAAATAATTGTAATCTTATAAATGATGATTATGAAAAAATGGAATTATGGAAAAAATGAACGGTGATGAATTCTTCCTTGGAACAACCATGAAAAACATGTTTAACATATTAATAATGTACTGTTGGTAATTCTTTTTGATATTATTTTATTTGTTATTTTTCAATATATATTATAAAAAAAAAAAAAAAAAAAAAAAAAAAAAAAAAGTGCTTGAGCAATTTCTGAATTTACACCAGTACGGTACCGTACCGTATAATATCACACGCAGCGACATAGATAGCATTTACATGATTATAGACTACCGGGGAAAGGAAAGTCGATAAGATGCCTTAATCGTTTGGCAAACCACGGTGTCTCGTCCTGCTGTTCGGTTACCGTACCGGTACCGGTATGAGATTAGTTAGCCAGTTACCGGTACGGTACCGTATTTGTTGCAGATGCAGGGAATTTATGGTGGAGGAAGCCGTAATGCATTCCAATATACACATATAAGCTACCGATACTGGTACTGTACACTATTAATCACATTCCTCAAACTGTAAACTGAGTTCTCCAAAAAATCCAAGGATTTCTGTTCCAAATATTTCTTTTTGAAAAGCATAGCATACCGGTACCGGTACTTTTAAACTTCTCGATTCTGAGTTAATACAGTTTTCTGTGACCTGTTTGAAGGTGGCATTTTATAGCCTAGTTTTCTGATTTGAACTTTATCTGTATCCTGTAAGACAGTACAGCAGTACTGCAGTAAGAGATTTGCAGTTAGCACCTCCATACTGCCATAATAAATACATTTGCAAAAATGTTGCTGGTGGTATTCCATCACTAAATTGTTGAGGGTAAAACTAATTCTAATTTTCCCTAAAAAAGGGCGAAGACATACAGGTATTACAGTATTAGCTTATATAAAAAAAAATACTGAAATATGTCTATATATGTTGTTTCAGATCTACTGGATATATAATATATATTTCATATGAAGCTGTTTTAGCGAATATCATAGTCAACTAGTGATATGGGCTGTGATTTTTCTTGTTTTCCAAAATTTCTCAATGAAGAAAAATTTTTTGACTCATCAAATATAAATTCATCAACTAGCTTTCTTCAATGTGCAATATCTGGTAACATGGTCGAAGTCGGATACCGTGTTATTCGTGGGCCGGACTGGAAATGGGGTGATCAGGTAATATATGAAATAATGATTTTGTTATAATATAAATGTACAATAGTTTTGCCTTCTTTTGCTATACATCAGACCGAAGGTCAAGGCGTGAAATTGAAACCTTTCTACTTTCGTTACAATAACATATTTAAAATATTTAAAAAATGTGAAAAACTGAACTTGATAAAAACTAGTTCGAATTTTGTAAAATCATTTTTCTACCTAAATCTTGATAAAGTGCAAACGTTCGGTAGCCGAATTGACTGCGACATTAGTTTCCATAGCTCTCCAACAGATGACAAAATATTGAGTCAGGACATACATGTTGACATTACCGGTAATATGTAATAATTAGTACACTGCAATCAGATGTCTGCTTCCTTAACACCTAATTCACTACTTCATATCTTTATCAGATAATGTTATTCAATTTATTTTTTAAAATCAAGCTCTTTTGGGCTTCCATGTTCAAAAGGCATCACCCAATGGCTTCACTAGATGACATAAATATGACACGCAATAGTTAAGATTTTCATTAGATGTTTTTTCTTTCCTATATATATATATCATGTTTCTTAATATGGGTACAATCGTACCCCTAGGGCCTAGGGTTTGGTGGAGCTTTTCCAAGAGTTTGAGGAACGTCCTCTGAAACAGTTGTACATCATTAAACCTTTCCCAAATCCAGCCTACTAAATATGCAAAAATAACTACCGCAACTAGTTCGTTTCAGATATACAAACTCACATTCTTAAACAACTCATAAAATAGCTTAGCTGTGTGTAGCTTTGTGCAGATATAAGTTTCAGTGGATTTGCCAATAACTGTCACCTTACTCCTTGAAATTCCAGTACACTTCATCGAAAACTCAAATCGTCATAGATGTTGTATGCTTGGATGTATTTCTCTATGATAGCACTTTTCATTGCTTTCTGATCATTGGGCGTGAGAAATCGTAGGGAGCTATGGGTTTTAATAATATTTGCGTAAATGACACCTTATTAATTCATAATCTACATATAAGTGAAAGATTCCTAAAGACAAGTAGAAGATTTGAACCAAGTATACATAAATGAATCTGAAATGAGGGTGTTTGAATTTCACCAAGTGTTGAATTTTTGACAAAGAAGACATCACATTAAAATTTCTGTAAGAAAATTGGAAAATACCACCAGATATGTTCAATTTTTAATAGATTGTTGCTATTAGTTAAAATCATCAGTACACGAAAAGCACCATAACTTTTGTTATAGTAGCACCTTGACAAATAAAAACGATAATTTCATGTGTCTACGCCACACATTATGATATGTTGAAAAATTTTGAAATATAGTTAATAGTCATCGAAGTTGAAACAGTGAATTGTGCTCGCGATCTACCTTCTTATCTTTTGTTAAATTACCGTTGTGCCACATCCCACTTTTTTCCCGATTATGATGAATATAAGAATATAAGCTAACTAATGTATAGCCTATTTAATCAAATTAATATTTTACTAAAATAAATACCGGTAGTATTCTTTGCGATTCTTTTGCGGATCTTGGTATTTTCAACGGCGATAACGACTCCGCAAGATCGCAAAAATACGAATTAAAAATTAATTATAGGCCAGGTTACCACACGTTTTATGTCATTGCTGTGGTACTTTACCACACATTTTATGTCCGCAGATTGTCGTGGTATTTAAACTTTAGATATTTATCTTAAGTCGACGCAACCGTTAGTTACGTTAAACAGAATTAATACCGCAAGACATTTTAAATCGTGGTATCAGCCACACGTTGAATTTTTTGCGCAACAGAAAATCATACCCTAAAAAAGTCGATTCTTCTAATTATCATTATCAAAAGTATTTGCGGAAAAACGGGAGATAGTTATTTTTCTTACGAATAAATCAGTTTGTTTTTCAGCATGCGACAATTTATGAACACAACTTATTTAATATCTGACCTTGGTTGGATCTATGCCTGACGCGTGAACCGTCACCATGTTCAATATTACTTTCCATTTATTTGATCAATAGTTTTCAAGAAATATACTAAATTGTGTCTAACACGATCCATATAAAAGTACACAATCAAATTTTGATTTCAATTCCGTTCTCGAAGTGCAGGACCGGAGTGTTTGGCTGAAGTAAACCCTTTATGGTACGGATTTCTAAATGTGAGTGCGTTTGATTAATAATTGCGGCTTTACGGTAATTCTCAATTTTTCGACGTAGCTGGTAATGAATACGTAAATAACGGTAAGTGGAAGTCTTGCAAAACGCGCTCGCACAGATAACAAACAAAGTGCCGATTCTATTTCATCGTTATAACAACACCTGACAAATCGCAGAAAAACGTTTGAAGATTTCCCTCGAAAAGTTATCTAAAAGTTATCTAAACAGAAAATTATGAACTCAATGTAAAGCTAACACTATGAAAATTAGTCAGTGTATGCCCACAGAGTCATACCAGTTTATAATAAAAAATAACCTTTTCAGACAATTTCATGATTATAAACACATTTGACTCCATTTGGGAACTAAATTATCAAGCTAAACTTTTCTGTCGCTCTGTATTCCAGTAATGACTAGATCTACTTGGTATACAGTTATGTAGTTACTTAAATTAACCCTGTATTCAGGACTAAGTTAGATATTGCATTATGTAAATGTTATTTGAAGAGGCTAGCTCGTTCGAATATGGAATTTTAGATGTATATGACAGAAATTTAAAGGAAAAACCGAAAAAGACCACTTGGAATTGACAACGAAATAACGGATGTGCTCGGCAACGGGAAGACGTTTTACTGTTTGTCTAGTCTAGACGAAATTTCATCGCAGTGTGACGTAGCGAAATATAGCAATGACGTGTGTTGTTCATCGTGCCAGATGAACAAGTCCGCAAGTTGCACGCCTCTGGCACGGACAAATTGTTCTATATATGAGGCCTCCCGGAAAAAGTTGCGTTCTAAAACAAACTTGTAGTTTTTAATTCGGCACACGTAACTGTCAATCTAACACTTGATCAATTTTTGTCTGCTAGGCTCTATTATCGGAAATTTTTTACAGAATATGTTTACGGTAAACACTAGGATATTGTTTATTGAACTGCAGGTTCTTTCTCCTTGTCTACTTCCTACTTCTGATCCGTATGCGAATGATTATTCGCTGTTCAATAAACTTATAAATTATAATCCTATTTTGTGTGAAGAAGTTAGTCTATGATCTAACGAAAGCTTACAAATGTGCTTGCTATTTCGTGTAACGAGATTATGTTATTCTTATAGAATATGTTTACGTTCGGTATTTGTGTGCAGGCTGGCCCGACAAGGCGTCTTTCCTACCATGCATTGAAGCCTTAATAAATCGAGTCGTAGTTTCTCGACTCTTATTGCACCTACTAAATAAATGATAAGGACACGCACGCACGCATAATGCCTTTTCCTGTTCTTCGATTAGCAATTTCAGTTTGTTGTCTCCCCTTTTACATTTGCGAGCTTCGACAGAAGAAAGAGTTAGAGGGTAGCATGAACAAATAACATTAGCTGGTCTATATTCGCCTCAAACTTTGATTTAGGCTTTCATGTCGGAGCGGGGACGCATTTCATCTATCGAGAGTTTTTTACGAAATTATGTTGCTTATTGGATCGCTCTTATTTTACTTAATATCAGTGAAGCTACACCTTTCCCAAGCGTGGTCTGTGATGGATTGTGGAGGTTGTCTTTGGTTCGAGATTTACGTTCGCGTACTAAATTGCATGAAGGCAGTTAATGAAATTTCGAGAAACCCTGTCGTAATCGACCGAGGAAACAACTTTTGTTAGGAATATGAATTATTTTGGTATACTGCTACTTTAAGGTATAATTATATTTAATAAATGATATTAACTTTCCAAACTCCTTTATCGGGTCGCGCGTGGTGTTTGTGTATAATTTGGAAAGTTGTTGGGTCCTATCTGACGTGAAATACATGAAAAATCTGTAAAAGTGGATATAAATCACCAGATTTGAGCTTTTTATTGATTTTGATAATTTTTTACTTGAAACATTGTAATTCGAAAATATAACTGTCTTTGTTTAGAAAGTTCGACAGTAGCTTCAATAAAAACCATACTTTGGTCAAGGCATTGAGACGTTGCACTGATAATAAATAATTGAAAATATGGCGAGACCACATTTTGGGTCGATAATTTGGAAATAAAAAATCGCGCGATTGAACGAAGTTGTCGACCAATACGGAAAGGAAGAAATATGGGACAAGTTATCCCCTGCCTGAAAACAAACCAGGTTTTTATCTCAATGGTTGTGCTATATTGTTGTTGTATTGTATTGTCGTTTCTGTCGACAAACTACTAAAAAGGAACTGACAGAAAGAACTTGTCTTGCCGGGAATGATCAACTTACGAGAAAATATTCTCCCAAGAGAAAATAGTCCTCGAAGAAATTGCGTGAATATAGTTTCGCTCGATATAACCATTTCGCAAACAAAGAAATAAAGGTTGATGTATTTTTGTGAGTTTTGCAGTTTATATTTTGAAAATAAAACTATTCTGTGAAAAAAATTTAGCTTTAAAATTGTGCGGAGAAAATATGTTTTTCGTGAGGTAATCCGTATTCAGTTTAGGACAGCATGCGACGTCATTTGAAAGTTAACAATAGAGATACTGCAATTAGACTCGAAAACGTTTTCTCCAAAGTCCGTTCTTGGGAAACTAGATTCTCGCAGCGGGCGTTGCAAATGGTTTTCCGCCAACCCATTTAGGGCGTATTTCCTCTATATAGCATAAATTTTCCATAGGAAGCGTGTAAAAAGTGGGTCAGTAGCTGTAGAGATGAATAATTTGCTCAAACTCTCGCGTTACGTCACTGTGAATAAATTTGACCTTATTAATCTTCCATTCGATCTTTTTTTTGTGTTATGTGTAGGTTGAAATATATATTTTCAGATATGCGTTCTAATCGTTCGAACTGTCATTCAAGTATTTTGTCGTTATAAGTTGTATGTTAGAGCAACTTTCCATTACCGTAAATTGATTCGTATATCGTGACCAAAACACCATGCCATTGCTGTCAGAATTAATACAATACAGTACAATAAACCATTTAAATGGATTCTATTCCAAATGAAAATCGATATATATATATTGTTGATTGAATTTTTTTTTTGCTGAGCACTGTTACTATCGTTTTATTTGGCGTTCTCATTACCATGCATGTCCATGCGTGTGCCAGATCGGATCGAATAGTCGAATGTATTCAAATACTTCATATGCTGAATAGCGTTTTTAATTTTCATTCTTTACAAGAATCATAACTTATATTTCATCATAATAAAGGATAGTCATGTGCGGCCACGGCTGTAAAACCTATAACACGAAAAAAGGGGCACGTTGCGCGCATAATTAATTTTGTTTGTTCATCTTGAGTTTCGGTCGAAACGAAGCAGAATGCGAATTTTTTTTTCTTACTTGCGAATTACAGTGTCTTTCGCAACGATCGTTTCCAGTGTAGGTGATATTGTTTAAAACCTTAGCGAATTTCAGCAATTATTTTGAGTCGTTATCCGCGTGTCGTTGATGATAATATTGTTCAATTTAATCGGGGGAAATTAATTTATGAGCATAGATGAGGACGATCAAAGCCGCCATAAGATTAAAACCAGGGCCGACTTGAAAAACTTCTGCTTCTCAAGCTTCTGAGTTTCAATACTTCATAGGCATTTAGAAATTTGGGTTTCGGATCCATTTCATTCGATTTATCTTTAGCGTCGTAATGACGAGGATCGCTTAATTTGATAGCATTTGAAAACGTTATTGTTTACTCTGATATAGTACAGGATATAGTCAAAGTAGGTCACTGCTTTGATCATAGTTTTATTACCTTTTGCATTTTCCCACTGAACGTATATTTTCACGGGTAAAACAAAAATTTCCATCTGCGATATCGGTAATAACATAAGGCTTGATACTTGTGAGATAGAGGTAAGTGACGGAACTAAGCTTACCGATGTCGGCTTGTGCACTGAAAGCTACAGCTGGGTTTAAAACAAAACTTAGCCATGTGAAAGCTTCGCCATATTATTCTTAATTCAATCCTTTTTATTGTTGGACACGAAGTGGACATAACGATCGTTTCAATATTATGTTGTTGTTGTTCTTGTTCTTTGACACGTCGCTTTTCTCTTCGAATACTGGACCAATTGCTTTGAAAATTTCAGTGGTTGAAGATAAAATTTTTCTCCAGAAGGCTATTACTTTTTTTTTGCTATGACGTCATCAAAATTATTGCCATTGGGTGGCGCTACGTGTCCATATATTTGAGCATAGCTCTCTTGTTAATTATATAATCAAACATAATATATAATATCTCTGAGTCGGGTTCATATTATTTTATTATCAGGATGGTGGTGATGGACACGTTGGAACAGTGGTTGAAGTTGGACACACTGGTAACAGACTGCTGCCTGATAAAACTGTTATGGTTCGCTGGGACAACGGCAGGCGTACGAATTATCGTGTGGGGCTTGAAGATGCATTCGATTTGCTAGTCTTCGATGGCGCCCCTTCAGGTAAGACGTGCTGGTGTCACGACTGATCGGTGGAGAGATGAAATTAAAAATAATTAGACCTAAATTGGTGTCTGAATGTTCTAATCTAAAATTATCCCAATCCATTGTTTATGTGTGAAATATGTGCAACTTTCATAATATCTATAATTATATTATAATCAATTATAATTAACAGCTGTATAATTCAAGTCGGAATATTTGAGAAGTAGAGCATACGGTACTTGGTAAAAATGAAATTTTACAGCATAACAGGATAGGGATCTTTCTATTTTTAAAAAATCTTCTTAATCTGCCCCCAAATTATATTTTTAACGTATTTCACTTTTGTTTTCTATCGCTAGTAGCAACAATCACAACAACATTTAAATTAAAGTTTTGGTAGCTATGGCAACATGAGATTATTATGAGTTTGATAACTATTAAAGTTGTATTTTTGGACACGTAGTGGACATAGCGATCGTTTCAATATTATGTTGTTGTTCTTTGTCTTGTTCTTTGACACGTTTTTAAAAAGTCGCTTTTCTCTTTGATTACTGGACCAATTGATTTGAAATTTTCAGTGGTTAAAGATAAAATTTTTCTTCAGAAGGCTATTACTTTTTTTTTGCTATGATGTCATCAAAATTATTGCCATTAGGTGGCGCTACGTGTCCATATATTTGAGCATAGCTCTCTTGTTATAAATCAACTCACTGTTGTTGCTGCCAGCACTATTTATATTGGCCTGTAACTGAGAGTTAAATTTATACTCGTTTTCTGATTTTTTGTTGTATATGTTTATTGCTTTCTTCCTCAGGTGTTAAACATTTCAACAAACGTTGTGATGGGTGTGGTCGTCGTGGCATTAAGGGTATTAGATGGCAATGTACCCAATGTGACGATTATGACCTTTGTACAAAGTGTTATATGGATAATGTACACAATTTGCAACACAAGTTTAGAAGATTTTTGTCGAATAATTCAACAGGGTAAATATGATTTGTTTCCTTTATTTGTGTTTGTTCAGATCATAGAACATGAATGCCTTTGTTTGTTAGCCTTTATTTTATTGTTATATTGAACAGTAGTTATATTTAAAGATGAATAAACCTTAGAATGCAACTGTTTATAAGAGAAATTATTGATATGTCTCCACAATATGCTTCATTTATTATGTGAAAAAGTTGACAGTACACTAATTTTTGATCTACCGTAAGTGATTTGATAGTTAGATTTGTTGTTATTTGAGATTTAGAATAAGATACCCAAATTTAATTTTCTGGTGCTAAATTTTGAGTCACAATGTTCTATTGCGATTACATTTCACCCCATTTTAAACATTTTACTTTAATTTTTAGTGTTTTGATTCATAAACGAGCCAAAAGTCGAAAGAGTCGAGCTTATGGAATATTTCCGGGTGCAAAGGTTGTCAGAGGCTGTGACTGGATTTGGGGAAATCAAGATGGAGGCCAAGGTAGCATTGGGATTGTTACTGAAACACGGTAAGACAAATTTTCCCTTCTTTAATATGTGCCTGTTTTCAATAGCTTCATTTCCTACATAGGAGCCTGGATGAAAATAATTTGGGTCGAATAGGATTTTAAAATGAAATGTTTTGAATATTGAAAGAAATGCTCAATTACTTTACATATGAATTTATTATTCTAGAATAATTAATTCGAATCCAGAATATTGAATCCTGATTCACGTTTTTTTGCAGCAAATAAGAAAATAGGGGGAAATCTTCCACCACAGGGCTGGATTGAAAATTTATAAGCAGAAATTTTCAGAATTTTGGCAATATACATTTTATTTTTGACGTGAGATTATACCTAGCCTATCTGCCTATTTATGTAATCTCAAATACTGATAGGCTAAATTAATACTTGCATTATAGATTTTGATAGTAAAAAGTGAGGTGCAAAAAAATAGATATAAATCAGCATTAAGGTATTAATAATATGGAAGGGCATGTGCTTTGCGAGCAAATGCAAGTAATCAAATAGGAGAGATTTTGACTCTGGTTTTATTGCAAAAGAAAAAGCTAGTCTATCTCTGATTAAACTGTCGCATGGTGCTGAAGTAACCGAATTCTGCATCCAGATTCTTTTGGATTTAAATACTTTGGGATTCACATCCAACAAATTCAATTGACCATCTTTAGATAGGGCAATGTACAATTTTGACTAAGTTAGGAAACGTATTACGTATTGGCTTTCTTTCTTTAATTATTTGGTGAGGCCTGTTATTTTTGGTCTTATTCATAGAAAGGTATGAAAACCCCTCCTCAAAAAACTTTAAAAAAAATTAATATTAAAAATTAATTCACCTTTATGTGAAAAATAAAATAATTTTCGACAATGCAAGTTATTGATATGTAGGCTAATTGTGCTGATTTTTAGAAGAATCTCATATTATCGGATGATTTAATATTGTTAGCTTTTTTGGTAATGTTGTACGATTTCTTTCAGCATATATATCTTAGTATAACCGATGTTTCACTTTGTTTTTCTTTTAACAGAGGATGGCAAAATGAGTCTGATGCAAGTGTGGCGTCTGTATCTTGGCACGGCAACCGATCCAATGTATACAGGGTTGGACACAGAGGAAAAATGGATGTCAAGTATGTTTCACCAGGCAAAGGTCCATTATATTACAAAGATCACCTCCCAGTCGCAGGTAGGATTTCAACTATAAGTTTATTTACAGGGCCTATTTTCTATACATTTTTAAATATTGTAAGAGAACATGTCAACTGTGTCTACTTACTTTTAATGAATATTTAGGACAAGATGTGGTAAATCTGGCTCTTGTTCAACCTCCAAATCTGTGTCCGTTTAATGTCGGCGACAAAGTCATTGTCTGTTTATCTATTGATGTTCTCAGACAAATGCAGGAAGGGCATGGAGGATGGAATCCTAAAATGGCAAACGTGAGTGTTGACAAGGCTTGTACATATTCGACCAAAATCAATCCTGTAATTACTGCTAATTGACCTCGTCATTGCAATAGTTTCACATACATCGCACTTGCAAATTTCTGTGGTCATAAAGTATGGAATCAAGACGACATGTGTTGCAAGCATTTCGGTACATTTAAATTATTTGAATAAGCTGATACTGGGTAAACAAAATGAAACGGACAAGAATATTTGCGTTGGAATAAACAACTGTTATTTGCGAAAGCGGATAAAAGTGAACATTATTTGTTAAAACTTCGAATAAATCTGCGCCCCAGATTCCGCATATATCAAGTAATGATTAGACACACCGTTTAAACACCTGGGTAAATTCCGCCATAATATAATAACAAGCAGAGTTGCATATTTCTCAACTTGTAGAAATAAGAGCATATATGTTGCAGAATATAACCAAGGCATTAGATTACATGCTATTCGCCGTATTCCAACTCGCTTATCGGTAGTTCTTCATACATTTGACTTTTCACAGAGGCGCATCAATCCATTTTTGAAAATTCTCATTTCGACTTTAACGTTTGTTCACGAGGTATATTAATAGTTGTGCAGCACAAAACTAAACCGGAGGAAACGTTTTGGGAGATGTTCACTAGGAATATGTGCGTTTTGCCCTTATGTAATTCAACATTTACCGACGTAACTGAAAATAAGTTTCGTAAATTCGTAAAATAATATGCAAGCCGAGTGTTACTAGCGCATACTTATTTTGGATCACAATATTTGACAATGTTTTTAAATTGGATTGTCATGATGTTTTCATTGAATAGGAATTACTTTCACATTGCGCATTTTTTGCAGTTAATTGGAATTGTTGGTGTTGTTCATCGTATAACTAACACTGGGGATGTCAGAGTTCAATATAAATTGATGCCAACACAATCATCGTCTCCACAAGTATCATCTACACCGTCCGTCTCATCAGCTACTGATAGTAACAGATGGACTATCAATCCAGATGCATTAACAAAAATAAATGAAGGTTAATAAGTAGATTTTTAGTAATAAATCGTATCCAAAATTCTTAGCTGCAAGGTATACATGCTGAATTCCTTGAGGATTTCAACTATGATGTTCATCAATATCAGAAAGCATTGCTGTTTAGTTTTGGTTTTACTTTATATGATTTTGATACTTCGTGCATGCATTTTGAATGTGTTACACAATTTCGATTTAAACAATCTTAATTGGTATCAGCTTCAGCTGTTTTATGCACATTAGTGGAATAAAAATAGTTCAATCTGCCAATCTCCTAACATGAGTTATAAAATAAATTTCCACTTTGTAAATTTCATCAAAACTGAAAGATAGGAGTAAATACATGACGTTATATTGTCAACAGGAAATCAGGTTATTGTTATTGACGATTATGCCAAAGTTAAGCAAATGCAATCATCAGAGCACGGTAATTGGAATGAAAAAATGAAAGAGGTAAACAATATTATTTGATCAATAGGCTAATTTACTTGGACTCACCTAATCCTAATATTTTGCTGCAATCCCCTAAATTTACAAATATCTTTCCCCCTGTAAATAATATAGAAAATGCGAGACACATACTGAGTGTTTGACATATTTGAATGTTTTCAAATTTCATATGATGCCCTTTTATTCTTTACTTTGTTTCTTTCAGTGTCTTGGCCAAAAAGGTGTTATTGCAGAAGTGTATGCCGATGGAGATGTTAGAGTTGAGTTTTCTTCACAGAGGCAGTGGACTTTTAATCCAGCTTGTCTAGTTTTTAATATGACAGCGGGGCGAACAAACAGCAGTTCTGTCACTGGCGAATTGACTGTATCACCTCCTGTACCTTTAAATGAAATTGTCACTGATAAACAAAGTAAGAGCACTTAGTTAATGACTATATTGGTTATATCAGGTATCATTGTAATTATGAATTCGAAACTTTAGTTACATCAACCGATATAAAAATGAGCAATGGGTAATATGATAATTTGGATATACCGGTAGAATGTTACACAGTTTTTACCTCGGTAGTAGAAATAATTCGTTTGGGATTGGTGTTTGACTACCAATTTGTTCGAGTACCGAAACTTTTTTTGCCATAAGAAACAATGGTAATTATTTCAATATGTTCGTACGCATTCCAAAATACTCAAAATATTAATAGAACATGCACCTAAACAACAATAATAATAAGATCGAAGCCGACGCAAAAGATAAAAATCAGATTAAAATTCTGAATTCACTCCTTAATTTTCTTTAACATATTCCGCCGATGTGAACGCATAGTTTTGCCAGGAATATAAAAAACCAACTTATTGTATATATATTGAAAATACCCGATATTCGACAATTCGTTAAAAATATTTGAATTATTCGATTCGATATAAATATTCAATGTTCAGTGTTATCAGCGATAATAGTCAATTGTTGTAATGAAATACAGTTTGTTTGCCACTTTCGTTTCTTCAAGCACTCGAACACTATTGAATGATTTTGGCAACGGGAGCGACATATTAAATTGTAACAAAAATGAATTAGGTTGCACAAAAGTGAGAACACCTATGATAATAATAAGGGCGTAACGTTGAAGGGGAGGGCGAGCAAAACCCAAGCGCAGGATTGGCGGTGCGTTCAAAGACCACATATTAAATGAGCGGCCATGCACCTTTTTACAAAGGTGTGAGGTGGCGCGATAGCGCTCTTGTGCACCATATTGTAAGAAAATAGTTTTAAATAGGTAACTAGTAATCTTGATAGTTGTTCTCACTGTTTTTTTCTCCTTTGTCGCTTTATCATCACTTTTCTTTGGAGCCATGATAAACGGCAACAAGGCAAGAAGAAGCTCTAAATCACAAAAGTTTCTCAACACGTGGCATCCCTCTTACTTTCTGACGCCAACTGATGTTAATTGAATGGTCGAGCGGCAGCCGACAGGCGCGGCTCGGATAAAATTTGGGGGGGGGGAGTTGGCGTCATTTCACCCGGTCGTGTGTTCAATCTCTGGATTTCCATTTGAGTACCACAACATTTTTTATTTGTTTTTTGGTCGACTACCGAAATGTTTGAGAGTCCAGTCATTCAACTACCGAGGTATCACTGTATCTGACTATTGGCCATAGTTTGCCTGTAATTTTGTTGAATAATATTTTTTAGGTACTCAAGCTTCATTGGAAATTGTCAACATGGCCCTTCATGGTAATTTGTCGGTAATTAAGAAGCTTTTGCACACATATGCAAACTTGGTAATTATATTTTTTAGCTGACACATGAAGTACTCACAAATTTTTGCCAATTCACTATATCGGAACAAAAATCAGCATTCCCTTAACCATTTGTTTATTTGTTAGAATAGGAAGTGACAAAATGTTGAAAAATAACAGAAGGCTATTTCTTTATTATTTTTTTTGACTTTCTAGGCAAAAAATTATCAATTTTGAGGACAAGAGACCAATGCACAAACATTGGCTATTTTTATCTAATCTCATTCAAAAAAAAGGAAATACACAAAAATTGAGTTTGGTTGGAGCGTTCGTCGCTGCTGTGTTTTATTATTTGGAAACAAAATGTATATATAGAGATATTATAAAGCAATTGGCAATGTTCTGAACCAAAATATTTGTTAATTTCTGGTCAATTTTTTGGTGCTAGCAAAAACTTTTGAATTCAACTATTTTTAATTATATACCATAAATGATTTTATAACCTATTCGGTGTGCGAAAATGTACATAAAAAAAAAAAAGTTCAACATTGAAACAGATGCAAACTGTCGAGAGGTTGTCTCGGCAATTAATTTGTGACTGGTCTGTTATATCTGACTACTAGAATTACTCCAAGATGATTTGTATGTGTTAGTTTTCCAGCTAAGAATTATGGATTAATGGTATTGAACATTGCAAAGTCTATATAACTGCCCACCCCAGTATAGGTATTTGTTAGTATTCAGATATCAAAACAGTTTGACTTTGAGACAATATTTGCTCTTTCTTTATTTGCATTTAAAAAAAATTAATTCTCTACCGCTTGAAGGTAAATTCCCAATGTAAGAATGGGCGAACTGCACTTCAAGTTGCGGCTTACAAAGAACATACAGAAGTTGTTCGTTTTCTCCTTGAAAAGTCAGCACTAATATCTCTTACGGATAGTGAGGGTGATGGAGCACTTCATTATGCTATTCTTGGGTGAGTTGTCAGATATTTTGATGCAATCAGGCTATTTAGGCCATAAAAATTTGGACATGGGATATCATAAATTAATGTATTTATTTATTTTCTGAATAGTGGTAACGATGAATGTGTTCGGCTAATTCAAGCACAATCAACAACTGAAGATGTAAACCTTGCAAACAAAAAAAAGCAAACTCCACTACATATAGCTGTTATAAAAGATAATGTTGAATGGGCAAAATTGCTATTAGAAACGGGATGTGATGTAAATATGCAGGTTTGGAAATGATCATTAGATTTGTTTACACTGAGTTTTAATATCATTTTTATATGTACCGGTATATCTATTCTTCTAGACTTCATACATTTCTTTCTAGACCTTAAACCATGTATGACAATGGCAGGATTGCATTCCTGTTTATCTAAATTGAGCATGGTATACTATAAACATACATATTTCCCGCTTCAATTTTGTTGATAATTTTCTATGAATTTAAGATAAGACTTACATACAACCACTGACAAACTAGGAGCAGTGGAGTCATTTATTTTTCCTACAATAAGTGTTGATCGATGTTTGAAAGATTTTCAAACTTACTCTTCAGCAAAACTGAAGTCTTATAAATCATTTTGCCAGGATAACGAGGGAGATACGGCGGCACATTGTTGTGTGAGAAACACAGACAATGCTGATATGATGAGATTACTATTATCACAAAGTAATTATGATGTAAATAAACAAGATGAACGAGGATTTAACATTCTGTTTAAAGCTACTATGAAAAATCGAGTTCGGTATGTTGGCATAGTATGGGTTTAATCATACGAACAATCACGTTCTATAAAATTATGTTCATATATTATGTTTATATTTTACATTTCCAAATTCTGGAATTTGTTTACTCTGAGAAGAAAATTTTGAAGGATTCTTTGCAATTAAGTACAGCAATTGAGATAGTGATGTGGTCATAAAACCATAAACCTTTATAGTAGATAACAAACAAACAAAGTTTTTAAACTTTATTCAGTGCATCTGAAGTGATATTGGAAAAGTTTTCCGAACTAGCAATGAATGCACGAGAAAATGGATTCACTGCGCTTCACATCAGTGTATTAAACAAACATGAAGCCGTCACAAGCGTTTTGGCCAAAAAGGTTACTATTTTCATTTTTTCAATAGGACTACAAAATATTTCCCTGAATGCAGCAATTAAATAAATTACATGCACTAAGAAAAGGTTTGATAAAACATGTTCTGTTACTGTAAAATGAGAAATGCTGTTGTTCACTTTCATTCTTCATATATTGCATTAAAAATTAAATAGTAAATCTGTCGTGCCATCCTCATGTATTCTTTTTTTCAATATTCTGTATTAGTGTCCATCTTTATTACACAAAGTTGATGAATCTTGGCAAACTCCACTTTACATAGCTGCTTCAGAAGGATCTGCTTTTATTGTTGAGATTTTGGTAAAAGAAGGTTCACGTATCGACTTATTAACCACGGACAATAAGTCATGTGTACATGCAGCCCTGGAAAAGTACGCTAATCCGGACACTGAAACGGAGGAAAATGACATTGGATCGTCAATGGATACAGAGACAATGGTCGATACATCTGATTACACCACATTGATGACTTCTTTATTTCCTACGACTTCAGATTGGAAAGAGGTATGGATCAAATAAAACTGCCTTATAGTGATTTTTGGAAATATTTACCTAAGGCAAGGTCGAAGAACCGAAACTGAAAGGAGAAACCTCACACAAAAGTCGAGGTATAAATCAAAACTGACATATCTCAAATTATAAAGAACTTATTCATGAGTATAGTCGATATTTATAATTATGAGAGGATAGTGATCACATGTAGCAGATCCATATATCAGTGAATTAAATTAGATTGTATAGAAAAAAGCCCATATACTGCCAAGCATGGTGAATAGGCTATTTTCTGGACAGTGCAGCAGTATCAATGATCAGAGCATTGGTCTTAGTTGACCAATATCGAATTGATGGACATGATGGTATTCTGTTAAATTATATACACCTATTCACAAGTATAAGCACTGCTGTAGTGACTGTGTTTCGCAATTTTTGGTTAGGCAATTTCCACAAGCTTCTAAACTGGTTCTGGATTGTGATTTGGTATATATTCCAAGTTTAGGTAATATTTGCAATGGTGATCGACCAGAGCAAAAAAGTTCCATGTCAAATTTAAGATTCTTAGCGCTCGCCTTAACTAATTTTCAGAACCTCAATTTGGAGGTAATGCTTTTTGCAAGCACTCATTGGTGTTTCTTATTTACGACTATAAGCCTAACTAATATTCCAGGTATCAGAAAACCGAGGGTAAAATCCTGGAGGAGTGACTAACCCTGAGAAAATGTATGCTTGAATTTTTCTTTCAGATATTAGAAGTTTTGTCGCGATTCCTAACTGCTCTGTCTGAGCATTCAGTATATCTGGCAATAGCTTGTTTCTTAGTCAAGTCATCAATGGAGCAAAATTCAGATGATGGATTTCTATTAGATGCATTCCAGCTTGTTTCGCATGACAAATCTGCTCTTAAAGCTCTACGGATATATCATCATCGAAAACCTGTGTAAGTTTTTTTTGTTAACAAATGTATAGCAACAGTAGAGTCGAATAGATATTGAAATGTAGTGCTTTTAGGAATTTTTTAAATAACCATATTTTGAATGTTTCTAGATACCATCAACTTTCGAAACTCAATATGGATGCACAGCCGTTTCTGAAGAAGTGTTCTAAGCATGGTGAATCCATTCTGCCGATTGCACAAAGTAATCTTATCGACTTGCCTCATGGGGAGGGTCTGCGTAATTCTGTTGAAGGTGATGAAGAATTACAGAAACAAGAGTGTATGTCGTGTGGGGATGAAAAAGCGACGGTTGTTTTTAAACCCTGTCAACATAAAATAGTTTGTGTTGGTGAGTGAGTAGTGTTTTGTCCACTTCTATAACACTCATTAAAATGATTTTTCATTCCTGGAAGTTTAGGATAATATATCTGGACAATGCAAAATCGGTTTCTAATCGAACTCATTTATAGAAGGACAGCTCCAGGTAAATTTGAATATTCAATAAAAAAAATTTCAGAATGTTGTGTTCGAATGAAGAAATGTATTAAATGTCATGAAATAATTTCTGAAAAAGTTGATGAGAGCGGAAGAGATTTATCTTCATTGATATCAATGCCGTCTTCGTTACCCAGTATTCAACAACAAGTTGAAGTAATAAAACTTCAAAAGAAGGTTAGCTTTGCCCTATTTGAATAGTTTGATATTATGTACAATTCTTTCGAATGATTAGGAATTAGTAATGTTATGCAATACTCTACTCTTAGTGAACGAATAATTATGTCTTTGCGGTTAGGGGTGATGTGTCAAGTATACTTTGCTTCAGATTCATCTTCTTAATTACCGGTACATGCAAGTTAAAAAAAAGTGTATTTCTTCACTGAAACTAACATAACACCATGGGGGCTCGATGTGGCCTCAAATGTGTAGACATTTAGTTTTTTGACACTTACTATATTTAACAGTGCGCTTTCGCCAGGAATAAAAGTGTGATTTCTCGGCGCCAAGGCGTCGTTGGTGCAATAAATACCACACTTATCAAACACGCAATATAACGACGGTACAGGATAGGATTTACATATTTATCCTGAAAAGCAAGGTAGCTTTGCTTTTTTTGGTTTCTGTGAGGCGGTTGACCGGCAACAGAACAATGAAATTTCTCGCAGGCTGACAAAAAAAAAAGCTTTTGTATCGACCGACGGTTCGGAACAACTGTATTAAATTACAAATTTGTTTTTATAGGTACGCGAACTGCAAGAGTCAAATCAATGCATAATTTGTATGGAACAACAAAGAGACACAGCGTTGAAATGCGGTCACAGATTTTGCCATGACTGTGCAGATAGTTTAAGGAGGCATTGTCCTATCTGCAGAAAACCAATTACAGGGACGATCCGATTGTATTAGGTATGAAAATTCTAACTCTATTCTGCTAGCAGAAAGAGTGGCAGCAGTAAAACAGAGGCTACGAAACAGACACGTGGCGTTTCGATATATAGTATTATTGTGAAGCGAAAACACTATGATCTAACCAACTTGACACGAGTCGTATTTCAGTATTTTGTCTGGTTAATGCACTTCAATATTCAGCCGCCACATCATTGGTCTGGTACATATCGTGTTCACAAGATACCTTAGCTTAATTCGAACCAGTTCCAAGTCGAGACCAGAACTGAAGTTTGCAATCTTCCGGCTCCAAAGGCCGACTCGAGAGCTATGACAAGAGAATCATATTGTTCGGTTCTCACGCACTGATTTTGGTTGGACGGGATTGGTAATTTGTTTACATAAACGAGCATTAAACTACACTGCATTTGTTTATTATAGCGTTGTATGCTATTGGCAACAAATAACAATAACATTGGACATGTTGATCGCTCCAGAAACTCACGATGAGACCTACCCTAACTGTCAGACGTAAATTCGAAATGTGGTTAAACTGATAGTGATGTCTCTGCAATACAGTTGATATACTCGCAGACGATAAATTTTCGAGTGCTACATTTATTGTTTTGTTGCGGCTGTAAATGTATCTCCCGCCAATTTCAAGGAAGTTGTAGGAGGTAATCCTGACATTAAACTGTTGTTTAGGATTTGCCTGATACAACAAGTGTTTGGTGGTATAATGTTTAGGGGAACTTAGAACGATTCACAACATTCTGAAAGTATTTTAAATCAACAGTGAAATATCGTAATCTTGCAATAATTCACGGATGCGGATGGATTCCTTCACATCTCATTCTTTTCCTTACTTATGTAATTGTGTTTAATGAATTTGTATATTTGCGTCTATTGATATTTAGTTTTATGATTCTGGGGTTTCTCGTCTTTCGTGTCAGGCTATTGTACGGAATTCAGATTCTACGAATCCGAATAACATAGGGCGCATTCTCCCATATTTTCATTCACACAGTTTTTTGACCACAATACTAGTTGAAATAGTGGAGGTGCTGATTGGTGCAGAATGAATGCGAATGTCTGACTGTGTTCGCCATGGTTGATAGCTTTCTTTTTACCGACTTATGTTAATTCCGAATGACTGCACAGCACAGTCTGCATTGTAACATCGTCATTGCGAAACAGTCGGGAAAAAGGTGAAAATTTTCTAAACTCCATTTTGACAACTATATAGCTCCACGCAATTACAGATCATTTCAGATGAGATTTGGTTTCATCATATCAGTCGAAATCTAATATAGGATGAGACCGATTTGACAGCTAAGCTGAAGTTTTTGAAAATGAATCTTGGCCATTTTACAGAAAACATCTTAACCAAGATGTTTCCATATTTGGAAGGTATGTCTTCAAAAATGGCATCATATTTGCGCAAACAAATTTTTTTTAAATGGACTTCATGAATATCAGTAGAGGTTGCGCGAGACTATCTACTTCTGCAAATGGACTTTCGAATTGCTAGCACTTCGATTAAGCGATTCCCAAACTGTGGTACGCGTACCACCTGTGGTACGCGAGAGTCTTTCAGGTGGTACGCGACCAACTTTCAATAATTTGCAATGTTGCGTTTCAATTACCTTTAATTTGTGGTTTCGCACGTTTATGAAGCAACACTTATTTTGTTCAAGATGATCAAACGCCAATTACCAACTTTCATGACCTTTGACCGATGCTGTCAGCAAAATATTTGGCGGGAACGCTCTCCTTACCGGCCGTCTCAGACTACGTACGGTTGCTATTCGTACTTGCTTTCAAAAGCCTGCGGTGTGTGAATATGGGGAAATTTTGTTTAATTCAACTATTGACAACATGTCTAAACGAAATTACAGTCCAGCTTACATAAAGTACGGATTCATAGCTATTGAACACAACGGAGAAGTTTTGCCGCAATGTGTAGTGTGCATGAAAACGCTTGCTAATTCGGCTATGAAACCAAGCTTACTCCAACGACATCTTGACACAAATCATCCCGACAAGAAGGATCGAAATGAGAGTTTCTTTCAGCGACTGGGCGAGCAAGTGAAACGACAGCGCTTCGACAACACTGGCACAATTTATCAGAGAAAGAAGTGTGCTGTCAAGGCATCCTATGAAGTCGCTCTCCTGATAGCAAAAAATCAGAAAGCACATACCATTGGAGAGCGCCTCATTATGCCAGCTGCAAAGATGTTAGTAAAAAATGTACTTGGTGAAGAGGCGGCTGCAAAGCTAATAAGTGTTCCCCTCTCCAACAATACGGTTAAGAATAGAATAGAAGAGATGTCAGTCGTTATACACAAGAAAAGGCTGTAAAAACTGAATTACTTATGAGCAAAGAACTTTCAGGTACAACAAAGGGAAAGGATATTTTCGAAGCATTAGACAGTTTTTTCAAAGTGAATAAACTGGACTGGGGAAAGTTGATTGGCTGTACAACAGATGGAGCTCCATCAATGCTAGGACATAAATCAGGCTTCAGAGCTCATGTGACGGCTGTGGCGCAAAACGTGACTTTTGTTCATTGTTTTATTCATAGATTCGCCCTATGCGCGAAAGTGCTACCTCAGAACATGTTATCATGCTTGAACCGAGTTATCAAACTAGTAAATTTCGTCAAAACATCTGCTCTGAATACTCGGTTGTTTAAACTTCTTTGTGAGGATCTCGGTTCTAACCACAGCTGTCTCCTCTCCTATACGGAGGTGCGCTGGCTCTCTCGTGGTAATGCAACAAGGCGCCTGTTCGAACTGCGACATGAGCTTCTGCAATTCTTCAAGGAGAAGAATCACAATTTTCAAAACGACCTGGAGAGCAAAGATTTTCTTACTAGATTGGCATATCTATCAGACATTTTTGAAGTTCTGAACAACTTTAACCTGTCGTTTCAAGGACCCAATCTAACTGTAACAGATCTCATTTGAAAGCTTAGAGCACTCATTCGTAAGCTGGACCTCTGGACATGGAATGTTAGCAATCAAAACTACGGAATGTTCAAATGCCTCACTTCTGTTGAGAAAAATCCTGATGGTGGCATTTCTAAAGAAATTATTGATCATCTTTCGCAACTAAAGACGGAGCTATTAAATTACTTTCCTGATGTTGCATACTGTGCTTACTCCGTCAACCCATTTTTCATTGATCCGGTTGATGTGCCTGTAGGGACCGGGGAAAAAGAAGAACTAATAGACATTCAAACTGATGATGCAGCAAAAATAAAACATAAGGAATGTTGTCCAATCAATTTCTGGTTGAGCATGGCATCATCGTATTCTAACCTAGTACGTCACGCTGTTTCCCAGCTATTGATTTTTCCATCTACGTGGGAGTGCGAACAAGGGTTTTCGGCTTTGATGGCCATCAAATCGAAAAGCCGAAATCGTCTTGGAACGCCAGAACATGACTTTCGATGCGCTGTCAGCAAAGCTCTTCCTCGCATTGACCAGCTGGTGGAGGAAAAACAACTACATCCATCTCATTAAAATTTTTAATTGGCTTCATTTTGTTTAATTTATGGTTTTTATCTCTTTCTGGAATGACATTTGTCAAATCTTAATGCTGCTACATGCTCAGTTTTTTTATCTACAGGTGCATAGTTTATGATTTGAGATATTCTAGTCAAGTGTAACTTAGGTGGTACGCGAACGCTGCACAAAATTAAAAATGGTACGCGGGAATGAAAAGTTTGGGAACCACTGGATTAAAGTATATTTGGAAAATGTAGTCGGAAAAGAAGCCAGCTGCAAATTTTCCACTGAATTCGTTTTATTAAAGTATGTGTGACAATAAATTTGAATAGCAGTTTTTTTTTAGAAATTTCTCCGTGTTAACTCATCATTTCTGCAAGAACCCCAAATAAGGCCATAAGATCAATAACAGAAAGAAATTACCCCTGTGGTGTACAATTCAATCATTATTTTGGGTATAAATATGTACTTTCCAGTGCATCGGTGATCTCTTGGACTATAATATAGATATTTGTTAGATAATGTCTTCGCTTTGAGAAAACCAAAAGAAGGCATTTATGTTCTCGCGGAAATAAAGTTTATTTACCATAAGTTGAATTCCGTTTCTTACATAATAACCTTTTAGAGCAGGGTGGTCCAAACCCAGGCCCGCTGCTTCATTATCTGTGGCCCGCGTCACATTCGGAGAGTAATCAAAAAATCGCATTCCTTGTTGTTTCGTCATAAAATCAATCAGAAAAATCTTTTGACATATTGTCATCACTAATGTCACTGAATTAAATAGTGTTATGGCTAGCTGGGGAACTAGCGAAGTTGAATGATGTGCTTGGCAGTCTAAATTGTTATTTGGCTTTCTAACTTTTTGGTCGGGAATAATTATATGCTGACAATATAGGCATCATAGAAAACTAAAAATCAAATGCAGATTCTATTAGCCTAGAATGGCTATGCCTGATAACTATGTGTTTGCATAATAAAACTGTTTGTTTTGTATTGCACTGTTTACCTATTTTTGGCACTATTGTGGCCCGCGAACAATGCGAAAATAATTTTGTGGCCCGCGGAGCCGACAACCTTGGACCACCCTGTTTTAGAGTCTTGCAATAGAATGTAGTATAGAAGAGAATGACGTAATCAGTTGGGGGTCGGGAATGACATATGCAAACATTGTCACGTCACACCCACTAGAAGTACTTTTGGTACTAAAAACTATCAAAATCAAAACGGAGGCCGTTACACTTGGCGGAACAAAACCGTGTTCGCGCGAATGAAAATAAAACAGCTGAATATCGGATCGAGGATTCATACGAAATACCAGTGGCGGCGCGTCAATAGGACCAACCGGGGCAATGCCCCGGTTGTTTTTTCGGTATAATAAAAAATATTCGAAAAATACCTCAATATCGGTTGCACAGACTGTCTACACCAGCCATATTCTCCCGACATGGTTCATTTTTCGCTCGCAAAGCCTTCGCCGAACGTCGACGGGGCGACGCCGATTTTGCCCCGGTTGCTCATTGTATATCATATTCTCTCTTTTATCTTCCACTCGCCGCGTTTGTCTCGTTTGTTTTCTGTTTCTTTTACTAAATCATCGGGGCTAGCCCCGAAATGATGACGACACAATGTCGACGTTTTTTACAACAACGTGTTGACATATTCACGCATTCCTTCTCGTTCGTTGGTTGCTTGAAGAGTTGATAGTTTCCTCGCCTTCGATTTTGTCGCTTGTTTCGCTATTTGAATCAGTTAGAGACCTTTAGTCCATTTGCTTTCGATTTTCCACATTCCTTTTGAGCTCCTCACTTCTTTCCGGCTTCGCATTTCTTAGCCTTAGACCTCATAATGAATAAGGTTGATGCACTACTTTGCACTCCATTTTCGCAGCTGCCGCTGGAACAGAAATTAGAGGTACAACGTCTTGGGCCTCATCAACCAAAAAATTGTTCACTGGAACAATCCCATGACGGAGGAAAGCGTCGGCGTACATTCTGCGCAGAAACTTGGTATAAAAAACACGAATGGTTGTGTTACAGCGAGGACAAAAATGCACTTTTTTGTTTTTATTGCCTACTTTTTGCTACCGCCCGTGACTCACGTTGGTGTAAATTTGGTTTTAGAGATCTTAAACATCTTTCCGAGCGTGTCAGGGATCATCAATCTTCTATGGAGCATCTGGACAATGCAGTAAAATACCGAACATTCGGAAATGTTAATATTGCAGCACAGTTGGATGAAGGACGCGCGGTTTCTATTCGTCGGCACGGTGACCGTACATTTGAACCCATGTACATTTGAACCCATGCGTATATCCACGGGTTCAATCTATATGCGGGTGCTAAAACCCATGGGTTAGGGTTAGTATGGGTTTAACTATCCGTGAAACAAAAAAAATTCCATAGGTGCAATAGCATACAGGTGCAATTGTCATGGGTTCAAATGTACGTGGGTTCAAATGTAATGGAACCCGTCGGCACAACCAAAACGTCGAGAAAAACCGCCATGTTCTCGGTCGATTGATAGATGTTTTGAAGTTCATTGGTTGTCACGAGCTGTCCCTCCTTGGGCACGATGAACGGGCTGGCTCTTCTAATAGAGGGGTATTTTTGGATATGGTGGAATACACCGCATCCCTAGATACAGTATTGAGAGATCATCTTGATGCCGCAACTGTTTCGAAATGGACATCTAAGGATATCCAAAATGATTTGCTCGACTCAATGTATAAAATTTATTTACAACATTTGGCTCTGGAAATTGAAAATTGCCAGTTCCTTTCGATTCAGTCTGACGAGACAACTGACATCACGTGCATTTCCCAACTGGCTGTGATTTTTCGGTTTGTGAAAGATGGTAAACCTACCGAGAGATTTCACAGCTTTGTACCAATCGTTGATCGCACGGCTTGCGGGATATCGGCTGTACTGAAAGAAGTGTTACAGCCTTACAACGCGAAGTCAAAATTGATAGCTCAAACTTATGACGGCGCGGCAGTCATGAGTGGGTCGAAACATGGTGTTCAAGTTTATATAAAAGAAGATTTTCCTCATGCGCATTTTTCACATTGTTATGCACACCAATTTAACTTCGTTATTAAAAATATGTGTCTTGATACCCCTCTCGTCCGTATATTTTTTGCAAATGTTTCGGGGTTTTCTTCATTTTTTTTCCGTTTCGCCGAAGCGCTCTGACCTCCTTCGCCAGATATGTAGCCGCCGTCTCCCAGCTTGTGCACCAACACGTTGGAACTTCCAATCCCGCGTGGTGCAGGGCGTGTCCGAAATTAGGTCTGAGCTCATTGAGTGTTTCAATGGCATTCAGAGCTCTCCGGTTTGGGACGAACGCTCTGTGAGGGTGGCGGCAGGTCTAAAGCGTCTGCTAGAAGATGGTGAGTTTTCATTTTTTCTCGCTTTTTTCTCCACAATATTCTATCACGTGGATGTATTATACGGCGCATTGCAGTCAAGGCTAATGGATGGAGCGTCTGTGCAGTCGTGTATTTCAGACTTCTGCGATGCTGTATCTCGTATCCGGGAAACAATAAAATACGACGACACATGGAGTGCTTCTTTACGCCGCGGGCAAACAACGCAGCGTTTGATTTTGTCTGCAAAGGAATGCTGTGACATTCTGGTGAATCAAATAGACGATCGTCTGCGCACTGAACACCTTGCCGCGTTCTCTTTGATGAACCCCAAAAAGTTTTCAAAATTTGCACGTCAATTTCCCATCCATTTGTTGGCTACTGTCTCCAAATTTTACCTCATGATAAACGTGGGTAAATTGGAAAATGAATTGCGATGTATATACACAAATCAAACATTTTTGAACATCACATCAACTTGCGCGCTCTATGGGTTCCTCATAGATAACACTCTAGTAACTACCTTTGCGGCGTCTGTAAAATTTCTGGACATCATTTTGACGACGCCTATTTCTTCCGCCGACGCAGAGCGAACATTCAGCACGCTGAAGCGTATTAAAACGTATCTCAGAAACACAATGAAGCAAGATAGATTAAATTCCTTGGCTGTTTTATCCATTCACAGAGACGTTATTTCTGGGATGCGTGACTTTAATCAGCGCGTTATTGAGCATTTTGCTTCCAAGAAACCGCGGCGTGTTGCATATATGTTCAAGCAGTAGAAGTCTAGCAGCATATATATCTATGAGTGAGCGACGCATGTCCTTATCTTTGCATTACCTTTCCTTTCTTCATAGTAACGTTTGAAACCTTATTTTAGGTTTTGTCTGCTTTCCCGAAGTTTCTGTTAATATGTCATTGTATTTATCTGGGTAAATATTGCCTTTCCTTTTGAAAGAGGTTTCAAAATAAACTATGTCTATATTTATTAATCCCTTGACTTGGACCGGTTTTGAAGACACTTTCTTATCGTTAAAAATTGTCGCTTTTGCCGATTGGTTGTTACCGATAGAATGGTTTTTATACTCATAAAATGATGGGAGAACTTACAGCGCTCATCCTGTCCCCGTAGATGGGGGTGACTTGGTCCCGCATTAGCTTGCCCCGGTTGTCAAAATAACCACGCGTCGCCACTGCGAAATAAGAATAAATAAAAGTATCAGCCTTCTAGCGAGAACAACAATCTTCAACCTCTGAACATTTTGACGAGTTGAACTCGTGAGAACAGCAGGGACAAAACAGATCGCAACGAGACAATCATGGGTGCATGAATCATTACGTAGTCGGTAAGACAATAAAGCAGTCGCTCACAGAGGCAATCAATTGGCAACAATTAGTTTGAAATAGTAGCACAAACTCCTCATAACGTTGATCAATAATAAGTGCGTGTAAACATGGGATGTGGATTGATCGTGTGGAACAGGGGTTTTAGAAACTTTTGGTGTAATGTAGCCCGCGAGGAAGTTGACTATTATTTACGGAGCCCCACAATAAATTCATAAAAATGGAAACCAAAAACACATAGTTACTTACCGATTAAAGTTCCTGAGTGACTTGAAATTACTTTGTTTAATAACTCAGATGTATTTGCTGCTTCGTATTTAAAAAATACACTTGAAAAACATATTTATACAGTGTCCCGGGATGCTGCAACAAGGCAGTAATTGATATACGGCGTTTTCTATTGAAACTTATAGATAATGTCATATTTAAATTACCGCCTTGTTACCACATTTCGACACTACCGTTGTCAAATTTTATAAATACCGATATTGCTTCTTTGGACAGTTACAAAATTAGCCAAGTGAGTATTTTACTAAGTAAACGAATAGCTCGCGGAGCCCCTAGATTTCTCTCATGGAGCCTTGGTGCTCCGTATGGAGTACTTTGAGAACCTATGGTGTAGTAGAACAGGGGTTCTCAAACTTTTGGTGTTGCGGAGCCCGTGAAGAGGTTGACTATCATTCACGGAGCCCTAAATAAATTTTAAAATTGTTACTTGCCGATTAATATTCATGAGTAAGTTGAAAGTACTTTACTAATTTAAATGCTACCCTTTTTTAATAGGGTTAATACAAGTCATGAATAAATCTAAATTTCAGAAATTAATTATATATATTAAGACTGTAAATTTGACACTTGCCAAACATATCAATAAATTAGGGGTCGAATCTTTTTCCTTTTGGTATTTTTGTAAGACTTAAAAGGTCGCTGCGCGACTGCATTTTGTTACAATCGCCGACTGTTTTCGTCAGCGTGAAACGTCAAACCTTAAACATCTTTACGTCGGTGTTTATTCTCCCTAAATCAAAAATTTCCTTCGGCATATACATGTATTGTTCCACAATGACGACAATAATTGCTTTTTTCTTCTCGTGGGGAATTATGAGTTCAATGTAAAAAACAAATTAATTAAAAATATAATCATCGGCGACGAGATGCTAAAAATAATTAATAAAGAATCGGCGGTGAATCCGCAACTCAAATTTCTTGATTGAAAAGCGGCATCATGAAATATTAAAACTAAAACTCAAAACGGAAGATAACACTATAAGTTCTGTTTCAGCAGACTCACGACAGATTTAAAACGCTTTTTTAGACATTGTAAATGGCAATATTTGGTGTTATGTTAGGTTTTTTTTTGGTTATCCATCGTGGTAACTGAAATCGATACACAGTCACAATTGTGCGCGCGAAGTACCTTTTATCCATTCTGAAACTACCAACGGAGCCGCATGCAATAACACAAATTACAATCATTCGTATTTTGCCCAGACCTTGTGATTTTTTAAACGGTAATATCTTGCAAAGAACCTGAGTGGTAGACCTGCGAGAGGGTGATATCAGTGTTGCAAGAAGGGCTCAAATTTGTCGAATTCGCTAAATCTACCACACTGCCACGCAATCGGTAGTCATAATTACGATTATGATTTGATCGGGACAGGCACAAATATCTTATCAAACTTCTGGCACCGGTAGTAGCTAGTAGGTATATATATTCTTTTGTGGGCAATATGACTTTGTTTCTAATATCTCATTATAACAGCGTTGTTCAGGATATACCGTAGTCCACAAGAACTTCGTTCACTTAACTTTGTTTCATTGTTTCTCATTTCATATCCGCGGATTGCCATGGTAATTTGAGAAGTAATGATATTTATTGTGAGTCGACACAACCGCAGGTTACATTGAACACAATTAACCCAATAAACAAGTCATTTTAATTATGCCCGCATCGGTCATGGATTGCACAATTGTATATTGTATATTCACTGCTGATTCTTCATTAAATATTTTTAGCACTTCGTCGATGATTATATTTTTAATTAACATGTTTTTTTACATTAAACTCATAATTCCCCACCAGAACATTGAGTTTTAACGTCGACCTCGGGATTTTTGTAACGGCGATATCTTGCTTAAAAATAATCTCGAGTGCGAAGGAATCAAGTTTGAAAAATCCCAAGATTGCAAAAATACGATTACAATTCATTTATAGTTGGCAGTTTATCACGTATTTTATGTTATTTTAGAATAGTAATTTTTTATGGTGTAGAAGACGTTGACATTATTAATATTTGAGAAAACCAGTCGCGAGATTCAAATATTTTTTTTTTCAGCCGGTTCTTTCACAAAAGTCATATTTTTCAGCCGATTCTGTTACAAACAGAATATTGACAGTAACCAGTAATGCTAACCGGTTCGCGGATCTCATAAAATTCCGTGAGACGGTTCTATAGAATCGGTGCGAACCGGCTGAATCCCACCATTGGAGAAAACTGATATATTTAGTTGTGTGCAAACATGGAAGGAAGTGTTTTTTTTTAAAGTAATTTTAGACGCAAGCATGATCGGATGCTGGCCATAGCTATATTTTAAGTTTAAAGATAACTAATAATAAATTCCCCTGATAGATCACAACCCAAATAATTGTGAGTCAAATCCATAGAATATCGGAAGTCTGTAATAATGACACACACTTGCAACCAATCTCATGAAAATATGACTCATTTGGTAATGAATATTGGCCACTTTGACCCCTGAGGCCTCAATATAAATCAATGTGCGGAAATAAATGTGACTTGTTCTAGTTACACTTCGGGTTTGCTATTATAGACTTACCTCATCCTCTATAATATTGCCTAGGTGGTAATCATAATCATTTGATCCTGAAAGTGCCAGTGCCCCACTAGTTTTATTTCAGATCGTACTATGTTTAACTAGACTCGTGTTTCTGAACCTGACTTAATCAATATTTCATATCATATATATTGTCAGACACGACCTCGTTATTGAATTATCCTATATAGGCTTTATTGAGTGTTCATTTGTCGCCTTTTCCAGACCATATGAAATGAATGATTTGATAATGCTCCGAAGAGAAACTGTTCGATGAATTTCAATTAATAAAGTCGTCGTTTTTTACCGTAAAAAGCTCGACGTACCTTATTTGTATTTTGTAATTGTTTTCTCTCCAAAATCATCAAATGGAATGAAAAATACCCTGAATTATACTCTCTACTTGTGACTCGAAAGGGCAGCGATCCAACGAGAGTGCAGTGAATCGTCCCGATTTTTTAAATTTAGCGTTTTTAGTTTTCCTCTGTATACAGATCATTGTCGTATAACACACAAAAAAAATAAACTCATGTGAGCATATCTACTTGTTTTACAAATAAGATTGTAAGAACATGATTCAAATGTTATCAAATTACATAAATATTGAAATCTCCCTTAACAAGAACATGAACATTTTGCATCGTTTATTCTAGGTTTTGTCTTGGGATTGCATATCGTGCTCGGCGGGGCTTGCTCTCCTTTGTAATGTGCATGAGCTGTCGATTCGACCTGTCAGAGACAATATACTATTTGAAACTGAAGGTATAACTGCAAACAGCACTATTTCACCCGATATTTAATGAATTCTAAATGAGATATAAATAAAAGATTGTTTACCTGGAAAGCAATAGTTGGTGGTTTGTATTTTCTGACCGGTTTAAAGTTAACCCGAGGGGCGGTCTGAGAATTATCGAACTGTCGAAAGTTCATGCTATAAGACGTATCGTCATAGAATTTTCCTTTCAGTGCCTGGAAATAAGATATGTTTGAATCGCTTTAGTTGCAGACTACGTTAGTTCATATAACTTACATACGTGTTTTTATCGATATATATTGCTTTTATTTTCGCCTAATTCAAGATTCCTAACTATCCATACAGTCATAGTTAAAATGTGAAGAGTTTTTATAATGGGAGGCCCAATCTCGAACATACATAGCAAAACACTTGGCCCGGCTAACCACAGGAATAATCTGGGTAGGGCAGACTGGAAGTTTAAACTCGCGAACTTCTCTACTGACTAATTGGCACATATATCTCAGATATATCTGACTGCTTCTCACCATCCTCTATATACGATAAACGGTATACCTGTGACTGGGGTGAAATTATGAATCAACGCCATGTCACCAACTGTGGCACTTTATGGTTCTTCGTAACTGGTGTGTCATCTACCAACCAAAGCACTAACACAATTTGGCTTCCCGCCACCAACACAAATTATGAACTCTATCCAAAAATGAAGATTTCAAAGATGTTACTTATTGGCTATTCCGAATCACATTGGCTGCCAATGATTACATCACAAGTTATTACGTACTAAAATAGTAATTTATTACCAATCAAAGGATGCCCTAAAGGTGGCCACGATATAGCCATATGACATTGTTCTCGAGTGCTCCATAAATGCCCGGTTCATTGAGCAAATTTATAGCTTATTTGTACAGTGTTTGCGTATAGCCTCACCCTTGTTGGTGTGGACTTTGAAAACTGACGACGGCGGTAACTCGCAGGTGGGTGAACAAATTCGTCAGTGTACTGCGTTGATCCTTGAAATGGGCATTTTTGTCGTACCTGAAGGTTTCCGTCCAATTTGTACGGTTTTGGTGGTCCCTAGAGAACATATAGTATATATGTGTTTATAACCGGTATATACATCGATTGATATACCGTTGATTGCGATTCTATCGGATTTATTTCTAACTAGCTGCAGCCCTCATTATTTAATCTGCTATATTTGATCGCACTTTTGAATTTAGTCACAATGGCGATTCGCGTTTTGAACTATTTTTTAATTATTCTGAAATGTGTAATAGTTTTTTTTTTGGGTGTTCTAGAGAAATAGTGCAAAGGGTAATAATGTTTGCAATTCATCCAGTGAGAAGTCAATCAAAACATGAGTAGAATGATATTTATTTTGTAAATTCCAAAAAATATGGAGATTGTTTTGATGAAAACTCTATTTCTCACTCTTGATCATCAGTAACTCACATTTGGCAATATACTTTTCAATAATTTATAATCTCCAGAGCGAATGCAACAAAATCTTGTTAAAATTTGAAATTGTTACCTGGTATGGCAATTGTTTGAAATCGTCTTTGTACAGAGTTTGTGGTTGGAACGGGGTCTCAGATACCACGTAATGTTGTAGAGGCTTGAATGATTTCGGTCTCAGCACAAACGGATGCTGGATATAATCATCCTATTTGAGAACAGAAATTAAAATTTGCTTCGTTTAATCAGTGTGGTATATATGCCACCTTTCTTCTTAGAATAAAATCGAGGAATAGTCAACGTATATCAAATAGCACTCTTCTTGGGATAAAGTTGAAGAACAGATTCAGAACAGAGAATTGCATCAAACAACCAGTATTGGCTAATTGAATTTATGTTACACACTTTCAGTGTTGGTCGATAAAAGGCACGGGTAACATTTGCCATATAAGTAATATAAATATATATTCAAAAGGCGAGAATTACCTGAACTGTAGATCGATGATTGAATGGATCGAAACGCCAATTCTCCCGTGTTCCCTTTTCTTTTACCAGTATAGGCACTGGTTGGCAAGGATCAGGTAGTTTATAATCGAAATCCGCTTTGTTCGTTGTTAAAAGATTCATCCGACAATTTTTATTTAGGCTATTAGCTGGGCATGGAATTATTGACTGCGTTCTTTTTTGCAGACCCGGCCACCTGCGAGAAAAACATATTTTAACACAATGATTTTGATACTATAGCCCAGAGGTGAACTTTCAGCAGTGAACTTTCACGGCTATCGTTCGAAGTCGAATATCATTTAAAAATGCAGAAGAACTTCTTTAATGAAACACAGCTGTGACAGTTTCATTTTTGAAATACTTTGGAGATGTTCGAGCATCAATGTCATAGTGTATTGCGCTCTTTGATTTTGTTTATTTAAAACATTTCAACGTACTTGAAGTTATCTTGTACTGTAGTTTTCTCCTCTCTAATATCTTCTGATTTGGGAATGACACCACCTATATCCGGTTTAATGATTATTGGTGCTCTCTTGGCTGTTGAGCATTCTTTATTGCTGTATCTTCTGTATGTTTCGTGACTAACCGATAATTTCTCTTCGTCACTTTGCTCAAATATAAAGTGAGGTTTAGTTAAATTTAGTTTTATCAAGTTACCTTTATAAATTTATACTTCAGAGATGGCGATTTTAAAGGTGAAAACGCTGTTTCTGATCTAAATGCTGATGAATTAAATGTAGAAGATGATCTAAGCCTCCTTATTAAAAAAATTGGATGTTGCTTCTGGATCAGAGAAGACTGATTTAGCTTATTATGCACATACTTCACTCTGCTTTTGGATACAAATTAGAACTTTACCTGATCAATTCGAAATCAATTTCAATTCAACAACTGGAATTTCGTCAATCAAAAAAGAAATCAAATTTATCAGTAATCAAGTTATGGACCATATATGTACATTTCAGGATTGAAGCAACCAATCAAACTCGAGTCTCAGGCAGTATGTCAATTTTTGTCTCGAAACGATGTAATTGGACCAGGACCTCCTACGACACGACAGGTCCAACTAAACTTCAACTTTTCAAGTTTAACGCCTAAGTCATCTTCGCGTAATTGAATTTTTTCAAACTTCATCTGGTGACCCCAAAAGTTCGTATCGTTGCCTCCAAGTCGTGCACCAACGCATCGGTCTATTTATTGTTTATATGAGTTTGCATATATTGTGTGTTTTGTGATTTGACGAATGGAATAAACTGTCTCTTATAATCTTACATTACATTGCAATACATGATAATCCTAAGTCTCACCGTTATGAATTTCCCATCCGCAAGACAAGGTCGAAATGATCGACGTCGCTGGTTTAAACCGTAAGTATCACGAAAATTATCTTTGTATGTTGATATATAGTGGAAATATTCTTGTAGGTCATTGTGCTGATTCTGTTGGGGTCTGATGCATCTGTCAAGCAGTCATAATTGATTTAATAAAAGATATCAATGATAGTTGAACGAGACGGAATATGCCCAGTCAAGATTTTCCAGCTAGTCCCGAGCCTGCGTTCGAAAAGTGGACTTACGAGGAGATAAAACAAAAACAAAATCCACAAAAATTTGGCATTGGCAAAAGGCCCATATGTTTACTTATTTGCTGAAACAGCGGCATTAAAGGCGTTTAACATTTTAGTTAATTTATTGTTTTAACAATCTAACATAAATATAAAAAATAAAATAAAATAGAGAAATAATAAATTTTTTAGGAAAGGTAAATTTCCATAATTTTAAAACGTTCTCGTTTTAAGATGCTCATGTGTTCTTCCCATTCATGGCCTGTTCTCGAATGTGCGGAAATAATCGAATGCTTCTCATTGGTGGTATCGATGTTACAAAACAAAAGAATGAATTAGCAACAGGGGAAAACAATTAGTACATAGATATCGATTATATGAATTGTTGGATGAGAGAATTTTTTTAAGTCGATTTCTGGTCCGGGCAATCGATCTGAAAGAGAAGAGCTCTGTTTGCTTTAATTGTTGCGTTCAGAATTACGTGCATTAGGTAATATGGGTATGGTCGATTTAACGAGAAAAACTATAGTGCAGCTTGTTATTAGTACTTATTTGATTTCTAATTATTATTATATAAATGTGAGGAAAGACGAAATTATATCGAATCAGGTTTAACTTTTGATTGACTTTCTTTTTCTCTCGTTTTGATATTATTTATAAAAATATTTCAAATTCGTTCTATGCCAATTATTATCTTATTTTTCCTTGCGGTTTTCCGTCTTCGCCGTCAGCAAGTTGTCGAGTTTGTTATTTTCGTTATTAAGCTTGAAGCTACTTTTGTATTGTGTAAACACAAAGCTATATTTTGCAAGCCGTAAGCGCGTATCGTGTACTTTTCAATGTAGTGTTAGTTTACTAATATACTATTCATTCATTGCAGAATAAGTACCACGAGCGCCAAGTCCGGCTTCCCAACTTTCATCCGCTTGGATCAAGATTTAATTATGCACGCAAATTTGAATATATCTTTTTTACTTTCGACAGGAATAGTGTCATAGGCCTCTCTGCAATTTTACTTATTTTATATTTTTCATAAATATTTTATTTTGTAATGCTTCTAATCCTAACTCTGTTCACAGTTCTAGCAAGTTCCCATTTTAAAATCAGGTTCGCATTGATGCTCTGACGTTACAGCTTAATTAAGTATTGGTAACAACCACATGAACGGTTCTTGCTAAGCATTGATTGATGAAAAAATATATAATATCTATGACTGGGCAATTTCATATCTATGTATATTTATATAATGATTATCCACTGAATTATGAATGACAATGACGATGAACCGTGAGCTTAAATCTGTAATTTTATTTCTCTAACGTCTGGTTTAATTTCATCCCACGGCTTGGTCGCGAGGATAATTGGGCTTGAATATCACGTAGCTATGTAAAAGAGTTGCTATTTACAATGATCATAAGGACGGGAAAAGTATTCTGACATGAGATAGTAACATGTTTTTACCTCTTTAGCCTAGGGAAGTAGCCTACAACCCAGCGAAATGAGCTCCAAGAAGTAAATAAGATAAACGCAAGATATGATATATATTAAATATGATACAGTCGGGTAAAACGGCTTGTAATAATTCGAGATTTCAAAAAAATCGGGTATGATAATAACTTACAAAAGGAGGTAGAAATATATTGTGAATGTTTGTGAGTCAATACCAACCTTTGTGTGATTTTGATGATTCCGTAAAATATTATAATGAATGAGTGAATAAGAGTAGAGAAGCATTAATACAGTCATGAAAATTTCCGTTTTTATGTGCTTCGGTATTATTATAAAAAGTTCTTCGACACTATTTTGAAAATCTAATAGAATTTTTTTTTACATGTGCTCAGGCCTTCGAAAGGTTTCTATAGAGACACATCGGGGATAGCGATGGGATTTGTATGTACGTTTTGCAAAAACGTTGTAAAATTAGACGTGGATAGTGTAAAATAAATAAGATAAAATTGAATAATAAAATTGTTTTGAAAAGGCTCATTCGCTGTAATAGCGACACTGGGGGCCGTCCTCTAGACACATCGGCGCAAAATTGTAAGTCGGTCTGGCTATCGGCACTATATTTGAGGTGTGTTCTAGTCAGTGGTGGGATTCAAATCTTTCGTAAGCCGGTTCCTTCACAAAAGTCATATTTTTCAGCCGGTTCTGCGTTACAAACAGAACATTGCCAGTAACCAGTAATGCTAACCGGTTCGCTGATCTCATAAAGTTCCGCGAGGCGGTTTTATAGAACCGGTGCGAACCGGCAGAATCCCACCACTGGGTCTAATTCCGAAATGAATTCATTATTTTGCTTTGTACATTTTATGTGAATTTGTAGAACTCTGTTAGATGCTTGGAATGATACTTACACTGAACAACGAATAATTACTTTAGATACTCGTTCGCTGAATAATATGAACGTATGTTAGGTCAGGTGGTTCTCAAACTGGGGTCCGCGATGGAATATCAGGAGTACCGCAAGAGCCTTTAGATTTTGCGTTATAAGCCAACGTTGTCATTTTGCATTTTCTTCTCCTTCTTGTGAAATAATCGCTCTTTTCAGTGCAAGATTTCAGTGGTGATTGTTATTGTCGCTAGAAAGCTAAAATTTCGGTGTGATGACGTCTCTGTGCCGTGGTTCCGTGACGGTATTTCAGCGATCTCGTCAGACTAACGCTACTGTAAAGTTTCGCATTCATTCTGTTAGCAGCAAAATGGCTAAAAGCGAGAAAACGACCAAGACTTATCCCAATTTAGGCGTTTCGTATCAAAAAATGATGATTAAAATTCAGTTTTAATATCATATTCATGAATATATTGCACCAACCAAGTAGTCGTGAGCATAACGACACTGCATTTAAAATCATTATCCCATTCGTCTCCACATACTTATGTGGACATGGATTTTCTACACTTGTTCAAAGCAAGACGAAAGCAAGGAACAAACTTGATATACACGTTCACATGAGATAAATCAGTACGTTGGTTTTGTTGTTTACGTGAGGAGTGGCAGCTAATTTAAACGTTGTCTGAATAGCACTATGCTATGTTCTTCTATCGTGTATTCGGTTTCAAAATTTTGGGTTTCCGCGGATACTTCATAGAAGCATGGGGGGTCCGCAAGCACATAAAGTTTGAGAACCACTGTGTTAGGACATCCTTATCACCTACGAACGATGCTTATGTTTGTGCTTTATATTGTTACTTATTTCCCGGATTTTCTGTTATGGCCATTTAACAATTAAAATGGCTTTTACTCTCATGAATGCAAAACTTTTATCTGATAAATATTCGATAAAAAGGAAACTTACAACGTTCTAGATGTTCTGGGATGATTGACGTAGGTTTGTTCGTACATTGTCTTCATGTCGTGTTGTCCCGATGCATCGAAGCTTAATTCTCTGTTTGATGGCGGCCTAATTTGTTCCTTTTCTTGATACGGCCATGCCTGGTATTCCTGAAATTAAATATCTACAATAAATCTTATATTATTAGGTATTGACCATTATCGTTTTTTAAATGACCGGTTCATTGAAAACTCTCTACAAAATCAATAAATTTGTATACAGCTGAAGATGGCGTACGGTTTATTTCTCTTGCCAATTTTCTTGCTATTGCAATGAATATATGATAAACTAAATTTATATCTATTTATGCAATATAAAAACTGGTTCACTGGAGAAATGATTGAAACCGACGGACCAGGCATGTGTATTGATCACTTGATAATATGTGCTATAAAACTTTACTGCTGATTACATGGCGAAGCGAATTTGTCTGGACAAATAATCGATTTACAATACGCTCGCTCGCTCAAACGCTCACAATCGGCTATGAATGTTGACTACTGTTAAAGGTTGATGACGATGTTATTGCATGAGTGGTACCCTGAAAAAATATAAAAAAAACTAGCTGTAAAGAACATGGCCCGCGAGAAGATGAGAACAGAGCCACACTGAAACCTATCAGGTGGATAATTACCATGTTTTTTTTAAACTTATGATAATAAACTTCATGCAGGTTCATAAAGTTACTTTGACAGATGCTTCTGTTTCACATCTTACTCCATTTGGTGAAAACCGTCTATAAAAATCTCACCATTTCAGTATTTTTAATCAAATGAGACGCGGTATAGTCTACTATACAATTAATAATTCAATTCAATTTGTTTATTACACCAGACCATCGCGGTCCATGTATATTGTAGAAAGACACAAACAAATCAATTAACACAGACAACTACAAAAATAGCACAATATTAGCAGGAATAACAGCTTATATGAATCAAATTCACAGTACATACCACAATATCAGCAAAAATAACAGCTAATATGAATCAAATTAACAGTACATACCACAATATTAGCAAAAATAACAGCTAATATGAATCAAATTCACAGTACATACCATAATATTAGCAAAAATTAACAGCTAAATATACCTGTAATTCAATCATATTATACTGGTAGAGTAAAACCGAAGGGAAAACTCACCGTGTTATATTCTGTATCCATCGATTTTCGTGTTGTCTCTCCGTCGTCATTGTTGTAGCGACAGCAAGCTAGGACAGCCGCGGTCATTTTTGTCTTCGTCTTCACGACGTCCTTTGGAATTCAAACAGTCATTTAATGTACTAAACCTAAAATTTATTAATATAATTGTGACGTCATAAAATGTTAATTAGCAGCAAGACGTTTGTTTGGTTAGTTGAAGGTAGACGCATCTATGGTAGATCCGTTTTTTTTCTTCATACAAAAAACTAATTGGTAGGTACCTTAAGCACTCAATTCCATTTTCAACGCTGGCCTAAAAACCGCGCGGACAAACGAATTAGTATTTTCGAAATGAAATATTGCAATTGATTTGAGAAGATAAGGAATTTATCAATATACTACCATACGACTGTGATATGTCTCTGTAGCAAATAAATATGCATGTGTGTATATATACAATATACATATAGAGTTAGAGGAGCTATTAGCGTCAAATTATGTAGTATTAGCCTCATCCCAATACTATCGTATTCGAAGCCACAAAAACAAATTTTGGTTCTTATTCCCCGGGGCCGAAGAGTGTGGATAGTAATTCATTATAAATGAATCCAGTTATTTTGAAATAAAATGGTGTACGTATAAAGAAAAAGGCGTTTAAAATAAACAGAGATTGTTATGTATTTTAATCATATTTTATCCATAATATTTTTAGAATTTTGTTCTGACTGCTTCTGAACCTCTTTTTCTCATTAGTTCAACTTGCTCCAACTAATATATAGTCATGACTAATTACACTGATGTCGACTTGATGATTATGAAAAGCAACAGCACAACAGGAGTCACTTTTGACGACGGAGGACCTTATGCGAATGGGTACTTAATTGGCAACTGTTCAATTCAACAAAATACATACCAAACTGAGCGGTAAGTGGGTTTATTTTGAGTTTGACTTTTATCTAACGCCTCATGCCGAGACGACCAACAATTTCTCGAAACATTCGACGCTGCATCTTCTTCTCAAAAACTCATCATAACTTTCGTTGTTCTCGAGATCACAAAATACACAAGCGCTACCTTGTCCCAGTGTAGGTAATTTTCTTTCCATCTTCCAAAAGTGGTAGTTAGATTAAAGGGCGTGCTTTAGTCTGTAATTAGGCCATCAGAACTATAAATTATTCGATATTAAAATAAATTTAAAAAATTTAAATTTTTATGGCGGCATCAATTTTCCAGTTGCTAAAAGATCATGTCTTGCTTAAAATTAAATTTTTCGTGTTTTGGAGGTGTTGGGAAAGCTGTATGTCGAAATAAATCATTGCTAATATTTATACTGTGTTAACATTGCAGTAAAATGCGATCCTTAGGCAAGATCACGTTCACGTGTATAAAATCCAAGTTTCGACAAATTTAATATAAATATTCGTTTATGGCTATATTGCTGTTTTTCTCACGAAAACTCATATGAAAAACGGGGGAGACAAGTTTAGAAAACCTGTAATAATTTTCACTAAGCGATATTTATTTGAAATTGTCAATTTAAATAAGAAATTGCAGTCAAGTTCGATTTTTATATAGCATTATATCGATAAACGAAACGTTTATAAAAATGACCGCTAAAGTATTGGTAGAAATATATTTTTTTAAAAACATTTTGCAAACAATTACACAAGACTTAATACAATGTAGGCTCGTCCGCGACCGGATGATTGATATCGAATCTCACCCATGCACTTTGTCTATCATGTAATATATACAGTTTATAAATTGTAAACGTTTCGATTCATTCAGGAGTCCATTTTCATGGCGCGCACTTCAAGTCGGCAAGATTGTTAGTTTTCAGTGCAATAATTAATATTGTGTGAACATCAATGGTAGCGTTTTAAATCGAGGCCAGGGAGACTGCGTACAACTGAACTGACTTGATTTGTCTCGTAGATAATTACATGAAATCATGTGGTTCCCATTCGCACTCACCCTTTGCAGTGCAGGTTGCAATTAGAATGAGTACCTTTTAATGAATATATATATTTATTATATATTGGAGTACTAAATAAAAACTGCTTTGTAGTATCGCTGTTTTTGATTTCCTATAGCTTTTCACTGGGAGGCATTCAATGAGAAGAGAAAAAATATGCGGTTATATGCTTACAAGCGTTTGTAATATACATTTCAAAACTACTATATATTATATGTTTTCTGTTTGATATATTAAAAATGAATTATCTTGGACTATTACTTTTCTAGGCCGCCAGAATTTCACCCCACCGAAGAAGAACAAATTTTATCAGAGATAAAGAGAGTGATCACGGAAACAATAGTTCCTGTTGTATATTTTTTTCTTTTCGTTATAGGTTTTTTAGGAAACTCACTGGTTCTTTACGTTTCTTGTTTTTTAACAAAAAAAGCAAAAAGTGCGGTAAGTAAAAATCTCACGTGGCATTCTATTTTTGTTGACGTTCATTCAATCCTTGTCAGCGACCTTAGGAGCCGTATAGTCGCCTTCACATAAGAGCCGAAAGTTTCATTATTAAAAACAAGCGCAATAACAAAACGGTCATACTAAACTTTGGTACAATATGATTAATATTTAAATCTTACTTTCAGAAGTCCTCCTTCATTTATTTATATTTATAATTAATAAGTGAAAAATGTTTCGCTTTTTAATTCATTTTTCTTCAAAACTGAGATCCCCTGAGAATATCGGGCATTGGGCGCACTAGGAGGCTAAGCCGTATACATACGTGATAATATGGATCTTTTCTATAATAGATCGTCTAACATTTCCTCGTGTTTGCTATATCCCCAGGGAAGCTTTCACGTAGATAAAAGGCCGAATATAAATTTATTCTCTTATTTTCTGTTTTTACGGACGACACTCTCAGGTCGATATATTTGTTGGTAACCTGGCCCTGGCCGATCTTGCTTTGCTTACTACATTACCGTTCTGGGCCACTACGCACATGATTGAAGGTGTTTGGGTCTTCAATGACATAGGGTAAGCGCCAACCAAATCAATATATATATTATTATAAAACGTTAATATATAAAATACGTGCAACTTTATACACAGTTAAAATTTTGTAGACTATTTGAATTCATACAATGTTCAATAAAACTTTTCAATAGCGATAGGAAAGCAAAATATAGTTAATTACAATTTCGTTTTTGTCAGATTATTTTACTTGACTAGATTAAACTAATGCGACATTTGGTTTAATGTTATTCCATGATAAAGTAGTCAAGACCAGCATGGAAAAATAATACGGTAATACAGCCAGTCTCTAATTTGATTTGCACATTCTGCTACAACTTTTTCGTCTTTGTTATTTATACAGATGCAAAATAATGAGTTTCCTTACTCATTTAAGCATGTTTGCAAGTATATTTTTCATCACGGCAATGGCTATTGACAGATACATGGTAGTTGTGAAAGGTAAATAAAAACCAAGTTATATTGTTTTAACAAGAAATTTCATTGATTTTTATTCGCAATATAAGAATAATGAAATTGGGCGATTCTAAATACCTATGCCACCTCACATTATATTGGCCACAATTCGAATGCTCTAAAGTCAAATGACAACAAATATTAACCGAATAGACACAAACCGGATCACGTACATGCAAACATGATGCGTATGTAAGCAATGATTTTATGAGCACCCCCGGGAATAACAACCATCCCTCCAATCGAAACAGGATTCATGAAAAATTGAAATTCTATAATTACTCCCGATCTACTAAAGTGTTTTGGGGCATCGTAATTTTTTGTAAAAGAATTTTAAGTGGGGTCCTTTTTATCGGTTCAAAGAGGACATAGCTTTCATTCGGGTTTGAATTTGTAAAAATATGTGTGTAAACAAATATTACTACATTTCAAGTAGCAGTTGAAAACTTCTTACGAGTTGATTGTCTCGCCTTGCCAATCTGGTTTAAAACACGGTTTTCAGCTAATTACCTCACGTCACCTTTGCGCAGGTTTAATAGTTAATGATTGTTGCATTTATTTTTATCGCCTAGTGGTTCAAGTAGCTGTCGGTAGATTGTGGCGTCAATAGACAAATGCATCCGTACATCCGAAAATTTGAACTCGTTAGCTATTTTCATATTGGATTGGGAAACCAGACGGGTAGTTCAGTGTATGGAACAATTTGCTGAACGCAAGATTTATTAGTATTGAACATTAAGTAATTCTTGGTAACACTGGGTTGAGTAGTGAGTGGTTCTAAGAAAGTGTATTAGTCATGCAAAAAATTAAAATGATGAAAATTGAGATTGAACTTTGGAAACTATCCAAATTCATAATTATAGGCTTCAAACATATTATGGAGTTTTGTAGAACTGTAACATCACAAAAATCTTACTTCAAAAAAAAATATCTAAAAAAATTTATATTAAATTAATATTCGGCACCATGAAAATTGTATCTCAACATTTAAATGCCGAAAATAAAACTTTGCATGATTCAGTTAAGTAACGATCGATAGGTAGGGAAGCATTTCTGATTGCTCGATTTATTTCGATTTCTGTTGATTCAAATGGATAGATTGTAATATATATTTATTTGGGATAGTCTTAAAATATAGATAGACCTTTGAATATTACATATGTGATATTCGTTTTGAAAGACTATTAACTGTTACTGAATCAACACGCCACATGAATTTATCAATTCTATCGTCTTTTTTATAATTTAAAATTTCATTAAAAACAAATTTATCGAAAATAATAATTTATATCATTTAAAGATAATGTTATTCAGAGTCGATCGCAAGTATTCGAAGCCCATTGAAAATCAAACCAACGTTCTTAAACTGATTTACCAAAGATTCGCCGCTGTTCAGTATTTAATTTTGTTTATTTACAGACCTTTAAGTATGTATTGAGGTTTTCTACTGCCTTTACATTCGAACCATGCTAGTCTAGTCCTAGTCCCGACACAATTTACAACTGCCCTTTATATGAGTATGTGGCAAAATCATAAATAGAATGCGTTTACAATACATTATTAATGCTTTGGGCATCAATAACTGAGCGGGAATTTCATATTCATTCACTATTTATATCGTGTCATATTGCCAGATTCATCGAATTAGCCGTTAGCTATTGAACATTTGGTGAAATTAGCCAGTCTTCGCACGGATGGTATTGAGATTTTATTACACTTCGGCGAGAGTTAAAACCGATTGAATCAAACGCTTTGGAGTAGGGATTGCTATAGGATGCCATGGCGTTTGAATCCAATCATTCCGATACAATTAAACGAATGTTTAAACAATGAAATTGCCTGTTACAAAACATACATTGCAGTTTACTTCATCTATTATAAAAGACGAGACCGAAACACACGCACATTTTCTAAAAAATTATAATATCAGGATGACCCAAAAAACAAAACCCATAAATTTCTTATTTACTTCTATGAGTGTGGCGTAGATTAGTTATTTTTATTTACACTTGAAGTTCTGTCTGTGTATGATTGTACCTAAAAGTTTCAGGAATCTAGGACGTGTAGAATATGTTCCAAGTGACCTCCTCTTCCTTCGTGACGAACTTGCATTTATTGCGCAAATATTATCACTTTTGTACAAAGCGTCCCAGAGTTCTGAAACTTTGGGTATAATCATGCACAAACAGAAGTCCACGCGCAAAAAAATGGATAAATTAAAAAATCATGAGTTATAAATTTTTGGGGTCACCCCGTATTTGAAATTCGACGGATAGAGTTTACACAAAATTCCATTTTGTTATCATGTTTGGTGTTTTGTCAAGCCTTAACCCTGACAATGTTTAACAGCTGTAAAGGTACGAGCAAAAAGTCTTCGAACCGTTTCAAGAGCAGTGTGCTCATGTGTAACAATTTGGTCGTTTGCTGTTGTATTATCGTTACCTGCCTTTGTCTTGAGAAGAGCGATCACCAATAATAATAAAACGTACTGCAGGTAATGTGCCTTTTGCTATGTATGAAATTAGATATGTTTTTTGTGAATGTTGTTCAAAGTTTTCGATTTTTAATCACGTGTGGAGTTTTACTGGTTGATGATTAAAAAACTGAAGTAAAAAATACGTATATATACAGTACTAGTCTATAACTTAACATAGACTACATATCTAGTATATTTGTTATCGATGTTGACCGGACTGAAAGAAAATTTCACTCGTACCTATTCAAATTGATTGTATTTTGCGTTAGTCTTGGCTTAGATTCCCTTGATTCGATACGATATACACATGGGATATGATATCACGTTTCAAAATCACTATCGGGCTGACGAATTTGAATTTCTACACTATGTATTATGGGTTCTAAATGTGAGTCTATCATTCCAGACATGTCAATAACCAATGAATGTCTAGCCTTATCTATTCCTATGTGACTCATGCCTACTTTATACCAGATTCTTTTTGTATAATATATTTAGTGCATTTCTAGAATAAATTCGTCAGTTCAACCTAAGCATATTTTGAAATTCAAATATTGTCAAATATGCCTGTGTTAAATCAGGTAAAACCAAGAGGCGTGATCTGATTGATAAATTGTACGCTATAAATTGTCGAATGCGCTTTGTGACGAAACACGATATCACCAAATTAAGACAGTTTAATATACAACTCCATTGAATCTCTCCCCCTACCAGTAACGTCATTGTGCAATTTAAGGGGATAGTTCAATCTGAGCTGCCTTGTTAGCTGTTTATTTGTTTTTTCGACGCCGAGAAAAGAAGTGAAGCGCCACACAATCGGATTACGCTAAACCTCCCATTTCCAATTATCTGACTGACAGGACGCGTGGCTGCCGCGGAATTCAATTAATCGACAAAATGCTGGAATTTGCCAGACAATTTTGATATCGGGCACAAAAACATGTATAAAGGTTTAAGTTACATGTCATATTTTAAGAATACCGTAATTCCATGAAGCCCTGTATTAAATTACGTAAAAGAACTTTGGTGTTTTTCGTGCAACTAATGGTGAGCGTGTAAAGGTGCAATAAATAAAGTGAAGAATCTTAAATGAACTCGATGGTAAATTTTGATATTATATTGGATACAGAATATTTCGAAATGAATAAGACCGATATGCTGAAGTATCGAACAGGCGGCATCGTATCAGAAAATGATCGTACTATACTTGAATACGGAATATGTCAGACGATATACATTTATTTAATTAAAACATCACGACGGATTATGAAGATTCCGTTTATTCCACAACAAACTAACTCACACGCATAAGTGTTTACGGAGACATTATTCAAAGCGAAGACGGCGGCAAACACGGAAACTGATTGTATAGTGATTACTCGAAAAAACGCAGCATTATTGCAACACAGGAGGTTCTTGTGAGTTTCCCGATAAAACTCGAGAGTAACGAAATTGAAAGCGCGATTCATAAATCGGTGGGCCACTTTACCCTCTGTTTATAAACTCGAAGCACGGATAGATTCTGGGGCGAATCATTCTTAAGGGTGAAACAAGAACTTTGGGCGCGTTATTAAAAGTCTCCAATCTTTAAATTTGCATTTGACTTGACCCATGCTACTAATATTCAGGCCCAGCAGATGAAAAAGATATAGATGAAAATATACTAACGAACATAAATATAAATATTTGCCTCCAATATCGGGGGTACTTGCAAAAATTGTAACGACTGTAAATATTTTATCTGCAGTTGGAAATATCCTTCAGGCACATCCGATCTATGGTGGGCGCTACACATCGTGTTGAGAAATATCATCGGCTTCATCGTACCCGTGGTGATAATATGCCGATGCTATTGCGTTATTGTTGCTTATGTGAAATCCCGGGCATCTTCATTTAACCAGTTACCGGGGATTCAGCGAAATTGTCGAGACGGAGGTGTGAAAAATAAACAGGTCAGTATTTCAAAATCGAGTTATTGTATGAAAAACTCTCATCAGTTATGATTAAGCTGTGACCAATGCAAAGTCACATTACCAAATAATTATCGAGACTATACTACCAAAACCGTTGATAAATATTGATTGTTATGAGAGACACTGTTATGTTGTTAGGGTTCAAATATCGGATCAATCACATTTGGCATCACTTATTTCAAAACAGTCACAGTTCGTTCGTTGCTTATTGATTTTTATATAATATTTTATCTCGGACTGTCACAATTTCAGCATATGTTCGATATGTAAAAGATTTTTAAATAATTATTTCAAATGCCATACCATTGTTTTGGGTCTTTAAACTTGGAGATTGAAAAATATGAATAACATAATGGTTCGGTTTTTGTCTTTCCGCAACAAATACAAAGGTCGGAAAATGTTGACGTTATAGGTAATGAGTTATTCAAATAAATGACGAAACAATCACCTTGTTTATTTTCAAAATAGCAACAGCATGTGACCCGTCTTGTGACGACAATCATCGTCGCCTTTGTCATATGCTGGCTGCCGAATCAGATATCAAACTTCTGTCACAGTTTGTTCCATTTCAGGTGAGAATAAAATTAAATTATTTAAATTATTAGTGAGGTATATTATCTGAAGGCCAAGCTGTAGTTTCGTTATAGATGGCACAAACTGCACTTAAAGTACAGTAGCTGCTGTCGTTAAGGTAAAGCCAACATGTAGCTAAAAGCTCTACTTGAACTCCTGCGACACTTTCATCAGCTATAATTTTTCATGTTCATGTTCAACTTCTTTCAGGCAGACGTACTGTTTGTGTCACTTAAAATTCTGTGCTGCTGGTTCACTGATAATGTCACTCTGTGCACCTTACGGTCCTCTAAACGCCACTGACTCAATTTTCACCACGGTCAACACATGCAACGACCATTTGTCATGTGAACGTTGGGATCGGGGCATAAATTAATTTGCACATAACAATCATTTCATTTTAATGTGGTGTTTTCGTACCTTCACTTTAGGCTCTTTTAAATTGCAATGCCAACATTATGGATTGCCTCCTTTTTAATTTAATTGTAGACCTGTAATTTATAATTTTCTATCGGAAACATTGGTCCAATTCAAAATTTGTTTCGTTATCGCAATCTATCACCGGTAGTGGCAAAAACACTCTTTCGAATTTCAACGTATGATTGGGTCATATTTGTAAGGACAATTCCCTGAAACTTGTATTACATGTGAGTGTTACATGTGCGCTACTCGATACTGGTTCATAATTAATATTTTTCATTATATTACATTTATGTAGAGTTATCCCACGACCATCAACAATGAGAGGCAATCAATACGTCTACATTTTCCACGTAATTACAACCGTGCTCAGTTTTTGCAACAGCGTTATCAATCCCATGATATATTCAACAAGTCCGTCTCATCGAATGCATTTGAAGGTAGATATCCTAATCAAGGCACGAACCTGTAAAATCGGTTTATAATTGAGAGGAAGAGATAACCAACCATACTTACGAAAAATCTGTAGAGTATTGTGGAAGACTCCGCCAATATATAGACATTCAGGCCATGCGTCTAGTTCGAGGCCATCCATTGCAATGGCGCAACATAGAGTTCAGTTCAATAAATTTCTTCATTTTGGTTATTTACCCTAACTTATATTATATATATATGGGCTATTCCAAGTGACACTACAGGACAATTCCAGAAATTTTGCATGTTGGTAAATTCAATATATTTTCACATTTTCAGCTACATGTTTTGTTTCATTGTCCAATCAGTTGCTTTATTGAATATGTAAAAAATTGCACAAAAGTTACACCCAACCTTACTTAGTAGATAAAAAAAATATAGTAAAATATAGAGTGACACTACAGGACGGCAAATCCACCCTGCACTAACAGTACGTTGTGTTGTGCAGCACTTGTGCTGTAAATTTTTGCGATGGTACAGTAGGAGCCCATAATATTTTCTGGTGAAGTAGCTGAACTACCCCTCTATGTGTTGCTCAAGTTACTTAATGTAACACTGTAAATCCATGCCAATAATGTGCATATTGTATGTGACACTACAGGACGTGACACTACAGGACATTTTTCCACTTCGGAATAGCGGCATCTATCATCTCTTAAAATTCTGGTAATAAATCGTTAAATGGGTGAAGAAATGTTCTACGGCACTGCAAACATTCAAACTTTATTAACTTAAATCCAGTGCGTCAATTCCATATGAAATAACTGTACCACACAATCAAACACTTTGTGTCAGGAATTATCACAAAATATGTCAATTATACCAAAATTTCTACATGTCAGGCCATTTTTTATAAACCATCAAAAACCTGGGTGAAATTTTAAATTGTTCGATGAAATGAATGCAGTCCAAAAAAATTCCAATGTCTTTTGATATCAAAAATTAAAAAAAATTATTTTTACTACACTTTTTAAAAAATTGATGGAATTCAACTTTTGCTTGGAATGGCCCATATACTGTTTTGCCTTCCTACGTGGGGATGGCTGGAGTCACTAGCCAGTGTACCAGAATTAATAAAGAAAGTCATAGATGGAGAGCGATTAGAATACTCGTACAAACTAGCATAGACTTGTTTTGGCGACATTGAAGCAAGCGTCATGCGATGCAAACCAACGATAACGAATGGATAACGATTTTTTAGCTAATTATATTTTGTCTAAAGTTTCTCTTGACTTCCTCTTTCAGACCCTATTTCGATGTATCAACAAGAAACAGAGAGAAAACGAGATGAGAGCTGTGTATCACTCTATTAGAGTAAATGCGGTAGGTGTGTGAACAAAATGATAAAATTGTGAACCCTACTATATCAGTACACTCTACTTGCTTTGCTGGGTTTGAAGAATTAAGTATTGCGACTTAAACTTAATATTTTATTTCAACCTTAAGATTTACCCAGAAATATTCGAACAATTCTTGGTAGGATTAGTGCAGGATATAAAGTTTGACTAAACATGAAAAAAATTCCTTTAATGATTTTTATTATTGATTCTTCTTTTTTTTACTTCTTGATTCTGAATTAAATTTATTTTGTACATCTGTGTAGAATAAATAATCGTTAAATTGCATTCCCATGTAATAGAGTCGCTTAAGTTGTAATATTTCGAAACCAACTAAATCACAGGATCACAGTCCGGTTACAGGACCGCGAGTAACCGAAAGTACCCGGTTGGTTCCATGTAACGAATATATCGGACTAGACTTATCGCATTCGCCAATATTCTCCGAGGTATCACAAATAAAGTCGACAGTTGCACTTGAGCCAATCAGAAACAATGACACGAACGAGAGTTTGTCGCTTCATCAACGTCGTCCAACTGGGGTGACTGATTCTCCGCCAAGAATAATAATTAACTGCGGTGGCTCTGTTTTGACAACTGGCGAATGTCAAATTGATATTGACGAAAGACCTTCGAGCTTGGAAATGACTACAGATAACGAGAACGAAGAATATTTTGCTACTGGCCAACGAGTATAAGCATTCGAAGTGAAAAAACAGTTCTAAATGTAATTTTTGATCCCATCTATTTACCGATGCCGTGATATCAATGACGCATACCGAATAGCAGTCTAAAATATAACTCATTTTTTCATTCGACAATCGAGAAATCTATAACTATTGTAAAATTGTAAAGTCATAAGGTTTCATAAAATATTGGCTCCTAACGGAGCATTGAAAATGTTTTCATTCTAGTGTTCTCAATGTAACCGTTCATATGTTATTTTCTGGCACAAAACACAGCCAAAAGAACAAGGTTTGTTACGCATGTTGGTATTGCTAGAACAATACTTTTTGGTAGCTCCAGAAGTATGTGCATCAAGATGGCGAACATCCTGAACATAGTATGTGTACCAGGTTAGGGTTCAGGTTGTGCGCCATCTTGGTGCACATACTTCGGGAGCGCCACTTTTTGTTTAGTATTGACTCGTTTGAAGTATATTGTGTTAAACTGATGCTGGTTGCTGAATTTCAAAATTCAATGTTGATGTTGGCATTTTCCAAATGAATTTAATCACTCTAGCTCAAATATTAATCAACATAATTTTGTTGCCTTTTCAACAATAATATGTAAAAAAAAGGAAGTATGCCAAAAGAATGGGTTCTGTAAGTCGAGAGAGCACAAGGATGCGTGTTGAGGTTTATTCCAGGGATAATGATCACGATGCTACTGCGCGCCTAATTTAAGCTTTGCTACGCCCTCAGCTGTAGGTATAACCAACCAAATTAGTGGGTTTGTCCATATATTATTACCACACATGTTTACCTAATGTAATTGCGTCACCGACAGGTGCAATGTCTTTTCATCAATTACATAAGGCTTGATGTTGTAATATTTTAACCCATATTTTTGTCCATAGCCTATAAGAGGAAACACATAAAACACTTAAGACTTGCGATCCATATAGACGGAAGGAAGTTGTTTTATATGCTCGAATGTACTCAAATATTTCATTGGTATTCTTGGTTATTGCATAGTTAAATATGTTAAATATATTCACGCGAACATTATGTGATATTCAGTCATATTGACTACAAAATAGACTCACGATAAAATTACGCAATGAACCAGCGAACAATTGATTAAGTTTTTTTTTTGTTTATTCACCAGTATTGTTTCTATCGTCTAATTTGTCAATCTTTTTCATACCATACATTACACAATAAACTTTTTTGTTACAGTGCAGCCATTTGTAAGTTTAAATTTAATATTGCAGTATATATATATGACGAACGTTTTGGGTGAAGTATTTTTTGTAATCTAGTTCGTTTCAATTAGATATTTGACAACTTTTTTTTCAAAATATGTCAAAAACAATATACGTTACAAAATTACAACGTTACAAAGATATTAGTCAAGAGATTTAATCAATTTGGCGCCGGCTTGTATAGTTAATAACAATAACAGTAAAAGTCACTTTATTTGCAATCGTGAAATGTTTTTTAAACTACCTGGTGAATAATTTAGGGCAATAAAATATATTATCACTATAAATGCAGCGTCGTAATTCTTTCTATACCACGATATAATATAATTATGTCATTCTTGGAACGCCTTCTACCCTCGAGCCATAACATTTGTTTATTTGTCCGATATGTGCGATATTTCACATGTAGAACGATTTTCTGTCCTCCCTTTTGTGGCAAGTAATCTATGGAGTCATACTGTAGTGACCGCTGGGTTCTTTGAAGTGTATATTTCAAGAGTAAGGTAAATCACAATTAGTGAATCTTTTTAGGAATTGAAGGATAATATGAAGGTTTATATTATTTAATCCAGTCCATCTTCTACTGAAACCAAGTTCAGATTTCATTTGATTTATGGCATGTGCCTAATTGTGAACGAGGCTATACCTGATGAACTGTCTTGAGTTAGCAATGGTATATAAAAATATATAATATATTATACCAACGACAAGCTATCACCACATCTAATGAATTGAAGCGATATGACAGAGGGGAGGAGCTACTGTAATGTTGTCAATAAGGTATTCAGAACTTGTTTGTGTAGTATTACTTCCGAAATAAATATATTGCATTGAGAAAATTTTGATTTCGTATTCTATTGTTTGTCACACTTGTATTTCATCCAAAAGTGTTCTTGAAATTATCACATAGTGAAATGACAGTTAATGGAGGAGCGCGTCTCCAGATGATTGTCCGAAGATGAGCATAGATGAAGTAGTTGAAGAATATTCACTTGTGAAGTTACGGGGCTATCCATATGCAATTTTGCCAAATTGAAAATTCCCTTTTCATGATTTGGCTTTTTTCCATTTTTCCACTCTAAGCATACAGTATAAATTCTCGAATAAATTCCCTTTTTATTTATTTAGATTACGTATGTTTTAATTAAAAGATTGCTAGCCCGATACCCATAGTATATTTCATTTACTGTATTTGCTTTATTTGCACTCCGTTTGCATATATTATAATATAAAACGAATTCCTTTCAAAGTATTTCCCGTTTTGGAGAAAGTGCACACGATTCATTCCGTCGAGCATTATAAAGACTCTTTACAGTTTTCCAGATATATAGATTTATTATTTTGTGATGCTGTCCAATTTTCGTTGTAAAATCCGCACCTCGCTACCTTGATATTCAAAGGCGTCATGACAATTATCCCGTGACATGTATGTAACTACTTTTTTATAATGATCAATCCCACAAGCAGCCATAGATACATATAAATGTGCTGACTTAAGTTTTCTAAATACCCCGAGGCAAATTTTCACTAAACGAGTAGCGATTTTAGGAGATCTGTCTCCTAATTATGTCCGAGAGGCCGACGTACATCGTATTATTAGACTGGTGGATCAACAGTACAGCATTGTAGCTGGCATTTCGATCTCAGGTGTACAGGATTTCGATCCAATGACGGAAGCGTAGTTGAAAAAATTATGAATGTAAAGATGTAAAGAAATATGTAAAGTATTGATATATAGCCTGTAAGCCATTGAGATGTTAGAATGCCCTCATTCTTAACAGAATTTCGCATAATGTCCCTAACTTCTATAGATTTTTGTATTTCTTGGACTACCATATACGACAGATGCATCGCTCGTATATATAGAACTTGCTATATATCCGATTAAAAAACGTTCTTTGTAATATTGGTGGGTGCAATAGAGTTTCAACTTCTGACCAAGTTATATATTTTTTTTATTTTAGCTAAAAACAAATACTACCTAGACATATGGTGTTTATAGCGAAAACAAACTAAAAAAATAGTCCCGAGTAATTGAGATCGATTATACAAAATTTACCATATTCTTTGTCCAACAATGATTGGGGCAAAGTATTTCATCCTGCTATGCTTAGTAGTTTCGGCAACAGAGGCCTCAAGGGACAGAGACAATAATCGACGTGGAAAACTCGAGGCTGAAAAGATTGCGGATAATAACGAACCAAACTGGATGAAGCTTTGTAGATGTGCTAAACCAGCACTTCGTAAAATGCAAGCTGCAATCACTGAATATACTAAGCAGGTTAGCATGGGAAATGTAAAACGGAGCAGCAACTACAGACCTCCAGCCTTAAACGATGTTATTGAAAAAGTTACAAAGATTGCGTACGGTAAGTTGATATACACCAGTCTTAAGGTCAACAATTAAACCGAGAGTGATGGTTATTTGAGTCTCGTAGCAATTTCAACTACCATTATTGTAATCGAAAACCCATCCATCAATAACTCCTCAAATTGATACATAACTTGACATATTCATGCGATCCTGTCGCTGATGCTATCCCCCCCCCCCAGAGTACTATGAACGTATTGATGACTTATGAAATAAAGCAATCAATAATGTTTAACTAAACTTCTCTCGATCAACTCACTGTGACGAATGAAACAATAGAATGTTATTTGAATTCTCCTTTTTTATATATATTTTTGAAAAATCCTGATACCACTCGTAAAGTAGAGGGTTACGGCACTTCTTTTCAAATCGTATCATTTTTATGCGATTAAGTATATATATAAATATTTTAATGAAACATGAACCATACTTAAAGAATAGTGTTCATACTTTTCGCATATACAATGCCCCCCATTTCTGATCTAATAACAATATGTACTTAGGTAGCGCTTCTGGCGAATTTCGTAATATCTATTGATGTTATTTATATACTGCTATCTTATGTTCAGATTGCACAAAACAGCCGCAATGCAGATGTCCGGAAGGATATTTCAAAACAAACGATGGATATCATTGTCTAAAAATTTCAAACAATCGCGTTTCCTGCCAAGAAGCTGTGAATGAGTAAGTTGGCAGATGCCATATAGTCGTTGAATCTTTTCGAGCCACCCCCATTACCAGATGTAGGGGGATTAATACAAATTTATACCGAACCATAAAGGAATTATAACAACTTACTCAGATGTTGAACACGATCTCAATCATAGACACGGATGCATGCGTCTAATATTTTCTATTCATTCAATGTAGAACATCAAGCTATAGGCCTACTATAGTACACACATGTATTTTCTCTGCCTCGCTTGTACAGGGAAACAAAATATCCCAAATCCAATTACAAAATCATGAGTTATCCATTCATTTGTAGAAATATGATGCGGAAGGACCTGGAAAACACTTGACGCCACAAGATTTGAATAGTATTGAACTTATTTGTTAGAACTTAATATTTTATTAAGGTGTTCCAAAGATGTTAATGCTCGACTCGCCGTTGCCAAAGACCACGAAAGACTGACAGATCTTGCCGATTACATCCGAGAGATTGACCCAACAGACGAATCCTTTTACTGGATTGGTAAATCTGTTATTACTGATCATGTTTCTCTGTGTCATTTTTCCTCGCTTGTCATCAAATAATGTTCGTGTCTTGCACTCTGGAGTAACTGGAGTTACAAAAAACGGTTTCTCGTTCCAGTAAGCTTTGGGTGATAAACTTTGTGTAAAATGAACGTTTTGGTTCAACGACAAGATTCTGGGTTTAAACTTTCCTGCTTTCCAACGAGTGCAACTTCAGCTTAATTTGTTTTATTAAAATCAGCTTCCACTCGCGGCCCGTTCTCACGTAGAGCAATTATAAACATTGTGACGTTGAATTTTCGAAATTCTTTAATGTTTTACGTCATTGCGAGGTTGGCAATTAAATACTTAATGGAGATCGCCGCTAGGCATGTAGCGAACAACGTCTCGGTCGTTATGAAGCATAACCTGTTTGAAAGATTTGTATGAATTAAATTTGTACGTTTGAATATTTGTACGGGTGTTTGTGCCTCTTATATATTGTTCGAATACATCTTCAAGTCCTGTTTTGTAGATTCACGTCAACCGAATATATGAATAATATCAGTGATTCAATGGTTGGTTGGCGCAAACGAAAATAATTTAAATAAATTAAAATAATTGGTTGGTGGCTTATTCGGATTGTATAAAAATACAGTGCTATCCGTATCGACTTGAAATAACTTTCAATAAATTTTATGCTTGTTCAGCCTTGTGGTTTTAATTTCTGTGTCTACAGCAACTCCGAAATTGCTTTCCATACATCTACCACATTAATGTAAAAACCGCAGCAAAAGCTGTTCCGCAGTATGGACTACTCTCGACAAGCTGACAGGTGTCTTTGTCATTATTTAGTGTCAATATTGGTACAGTCCGAAGCAAAATTGCAATTTGGGCTGCATACATTGTTTTGGGGTTTCGGTAAAGTGTGCACAACTTTACGGATTCGTGCTTCGAAAATTACCGTCCGATTACAAGTATTATCCAAATTCGCAAATAAATTGTACTTATAATTTGGATCTTTTGTAGGAATCCCTCATCACTAATGCAAAAATTTGAGAAAAAAAAGCTCGCCACATGGTGCACCCACGTTGGCGAGGGTGTTTTATTCGGCGAGGGCTTTCTACAAAAGATCCCTTCATTTTAATGATTCTTCAAAGAAACAGGACCCGGTCCATACCACGACGGTAACGTCACAAAGCTACAACTTATATCTATCTCTTTGTGTTAACTCCTTCGTACGTCTGACTTCAGTCAGCCTGAAACCTTTGATTACAGTGAAATGTATAGATAGTTAAGTGAACTAATTGAGCATACTTTGATGTTAAATAATCGTGAAATACACTGTGTGAAAAAGAAAGGCACTGTGAAAATAATGTTCCGTAAAATTTACTAAAATTGTATAGAATTAGAAAAAGCGACCAATTCTGTAAGTTTTATCGCCCACATTGAAGTAATTTTTGAAAAGCGCACAGTATTTGTTATTTTAGAAATTGTAAGATTTGCTTGTCGATTGATAGCTCGAGTCAAATGACGAGTTATGGTGCGAGTTATTTGATTGTTCCAATTTCATTTTGCAAAGTATAGTCACGCAATTGCAGCATTTTACGCCATTACACTTGTCTGTGCATTGTTTCAATATCCAGACAGCATCAGTTTATTCGACTTTATGCTATTCTTGCTAAAAATTTCCCATTTGTCATTATTTTCTTTACACTAATGATTTTTCGAAATTTTATTTGAATCTGCGTACGGGAATACCCTCACCGTGTGAGCCACCCAAAACAAATGTATTTTAAACTTCACACTAGTCGATTTTCCACTTTACTTAAATATAAATCAGTTTCGAAAATATAAGCATTTTAAAATAGCCAGATAAGATTGCGAATAGTATATCCATATAGTGAATAAATAGTTCAATAACAAGTTGGGACGAAAAGGTCACAGCCGCCACGTAACATGTTTACGTCTGCTTATACGAAGTTGGGATTACACATTCCACTGTTAATTAATGCGATGTACAGTACATGTATTCATTTTTAAAGGTTCGATGTATATGTTTTATTAATGATGTAAGCCGAGTCTTCTCTGACAAAAGTTCATAATATTTTCCAGTAATAAATAATAATATTTAAATCATCTTACAATAATAATTTTTTTTAAAATAAAAGGCATAAAATATTTTCAGGTCTGTCCTATAACAGAACAGATGGTGGAATACCTATATGGACATGGGATGATGGTACAAAAGCCAGTTATGCGATTACACGGGATCTTAAGAATATGGTGAAGAAATCTTTGCATCTGAGGTTAACTTCATTTATTGTTATTCTTTATATTGTAAAAAGCTGAGCAAAAAAAGAACCAATTTCTATTTATTCAACACCTAGTGTGTTGTTGTGAGATCGGCCCCGCTCAGTCTTCGATACGATTAATTAAACTCGCTAACCGAAAACGTGGCGATTAATATTTTGATGAGGCCCGCTAGGCATGTAGCGGAAGTCGGTTTTTGTTCCAATAAAGCAAAACCTGTTCTTCATTACCATATTGTAAATATCACTCATAAATAACATATAAAACTCTCACAGAGTCTAGCCTTAGGTATGAACGCGCAAATAACAAATAAAACGGAAAACACGGCTAAACATGTTCTAGTATATTGTAATGATATTATATCATCAATAGGATCATTTTTTGCATAGGATTTTCAAATACAGTCGATTTTACACTTTCAATATTTTTACAATTTTCCGTTTGATAAGAACCAACGGTAAACCACATCATTAAATAATTTTAGCTATCTATATTAATCACTTTCTGAATTTAATGTGGAATTATTTGCAATTTACCAAGCACCAATTGTAACATATCGAATATTGTACATTATTAATAATTCAAGTATAATATGTGTTTAGTATGAGCACTGGAGAAACAACTCGAGCTCTCGAAAGAGTGGCTATCAGCAAGAACTACAGGGGAACACATTGGAAACAAGAGACATGCGTGGATGAATCATTTGGAGTGAAACACAAATATATTTGCGAGTTGTATGTATTACCAGTTGTAACGATTTAATTTTACTATATAAGTGTAAAACAGTAACGTTTAATGAGGAAATACTAACCAGCGAAAATTTTTATGTTGCACCACACATTGTTGAAAGTGTGATAAAATTTATAATCTGGTAAATATTGGTTCAAGGATATATTAAAATGAATTAATGAAGCGCTAGATAAGCATCCACGCGGCATGAACGTACAGGAGTGAGGAAAGTAATTCGACTTAAGATACGCAATGTCTCTTAGATAAAATTATATGTAATTATTCTAATTGGCTTGGGCTTGGGAAAGAAAACCTAAAAATTCTCTGTATTTTTATTTCAAATTGAGTTCCTTCGCAAAATGAGCTAATCACTAAAATTACAACTCTAAAAATGCCTTTAGGTATTATACTATGATGTATAGAGAAAATTGACCTTCTGTTACATCTGCACTTATCGGACTCTGTGCTAACTTTTCTTTGAAATAATTTTGGACTCATAATCATTTTTTCATGAGATCAAATTAATATTTTCTGCTTAATATGAACATTTAAACAAATTTGATGTTAGAGATTATGACACAGTAACAAAGCTGTGTTAAAAAACTTACTATGAAGAATATTAAATGGGTTTTTCTGCCATACATGTAATAATTATTACAACTCAATTTCATCAATTGTTATATCATTTTCAACAGTTTGATGTTCAAAGTTCACATCAAAGCAGTTTCAACAAAGCAGTCACAAGCAGCAAATACAGACGGAAAAATCAGACAATATTAAATACTGAACATTGAATTGTACATTGGATTACAAAAATATTTTTTAAATTGTAATGGAAACTTTGTATCTAATAAGCTCGGAAACACTGAAATTGTCAAGAAATAAATTCAGTATTTTTCAATGTCAAGCTTGTGATTTTACAACGGGATCCATGGTATGACAACCATCTTTTTTTTGCTGATTTTAATTCGCCTAAAGTGGTTTTATATATGATACTTATGCTATTGATGAGAAATAAATTACCATTTGAACTGACCATTTCCCATAATTAATGTAAAAATTGAGACAATAAACCGATCTTGAAGGCTGGAAAAGATTTTTGAATTTTCATCAAAACATGGGCCATTTTTAATTTATTCAATCTTCTAAATATTTGATTTTCCCTCACTCGTGTTTATTGGATGTTTTTAGTTAACTGTTCACCTAAATCAACTTGCATAAAAAGAAAAATATAACAGTAGAATAATCTTGGCACTGATATTTTGATAGATGCGTTTTATTGGAATCGGATTTCCCATTAAAACTAATCTTTTTGTGTATACTATTTATAGAACCTTTTTACAACTTGCTTCCAGAATCATTTTATTAAATGCAGCCCTATTCAAGTAGAGAAGCCCCCTACAGTAAACTAATTTTATATTCATTGCAATGCAAAATAATTGTACATTTGCTGCGCTATGTATACGTGATTATAAAACTGTTTGTGAAAAACAATTAAATCAGTAACATCGTTGAAGTTAAAGTTACCTGAGTAAGCGTGTTGACTATACTACGGCAGGTATTTGTATTATCAGATGGTGTGTAGCTTCTAATTCAGTGACTGAATGTTTAGGTGATAACTGGAAGCTGGTAGAAATCAATTATTTGTGTTGAGATTACATCATGAAACTTTATGTGTGGGGTTGAAATAAGGAAAGTCAGATCTTTGATGAACTACGAAACAAGACAGAAGAAACGTTTCACCCGACTATGATCATGCTCACCATTCAGGGGCGGATTGTGCCCCTTCGGTGCCCTGAGCACTGGAGACTTTGGTGCCCCCTTTATGTGTAATTTATTTATAAAAACATTAAAATAAACCCCATAAATTTTTATTATCCATAAAAAATATTCACAACCAACAGTAAATAAAACAACTTTTACGAACATTTTTAGGTTTTTTACCTGTTATATATAGCAGATATATATCGGCCGGTCACTGCCGATATGATATATCGCCAAACACGCAATATCGGGCCGATATATCGGTTGAGCTCTAATCCTGAGGGCGTGTGACAATGGGATTCATGCCTCCGGTCTCAACGTGAATCGAAATACCAGGATACAAGTCACAACTGTAGTTTGAAATTTTACCGGTACCTAGTAGTCTTCCTCAGGGTGGTTCAAGGTAGAACCGCAAAAACTTTTGAGAAGATCTCGCGGGCCGCAAGTCGGAGAAAACCTAAAAGTGATCAAAATATTGCGAGTTTACTTACTTCAAATTTATTAACAACGAGAGTTTACCGTTCTAATCAGACTAATATTATGTTGCATGAGTGGCGTTCTTTTAACGAAGATATATGAAGTCTTCAGTTATTTTAAAATTAATTCCCGAGAATTACCGTTGTATTTTTTGCATGTCGCGTTTGATGTCGCTTCAAATTATATTCGTGGCAGATATTACTTGAAATCAAACTAGACACTGTGTGATGGGCAAGGAAATACGTTTTCGCCGTGTTTTCCATATGTCACCCTTCATGTGACACTCATTTTATTACGAATTGTTATATTTGAGTAATTTAAAAACTTGAGCGTGAGCAAGCTTAGTGCCATCGTCAAATAACAACCAAGTCCGTCTAAAAAAATGGATTGCGCGGCGATAAGTCTGCTCTGCGTTTTGCTACTGTCACATGGCCAACGCTTAAAAACAGAGGATTGTTTTTACTAAAATAAAGGCACAAAGCGTTAGAAAAGAGGATTTGAATCTCGGGATCCCAACCCCAGTTGGAATAGCTGAAAAAACGTTCTGCTATTAGATACAAATATACGCTAAAATTGGTCTGTGGGCCGCACGGAATGCATCAGCATGACAGGGTTTGGATCACCCTGGTCTACCTTATCAGAAAACTCCCGACTTCGCTGACCACTAGATCGTTGAAATGCGATCGTGGAACCACCACATAGTGTAAATAGTTCATTAGTCCAATTGTTAAAAAGGAAATTTTTTTTAAATAAAAATGCAGCAACAAGGAGGATACTAGGAAGAGAAACAACAACAATTTAAGAAAACAACTCATAGGCCCACTTCTTGTCAAATAAATAAGTTTCAGTGTTTATTTTTAATAAAGAAAGTTAATATGATACTTGAAGATGAAAAATAAGCGAACATTTTGAAGTTTGAGTCGTCTGGTGAACTCGAAATACCGTCCGTGCCAGACATGACACGCATGTCGGGGTTGCCGACTCCTCCTGTAGAGTGTTTTCATTAACAACAAACATTTCTAAATTGCCTACCGTCTGACCGTGCATGGTTCTCATGCGCATTACGAATACCATGTTAAGTATTGTCCGATTCCCAAATTACCAACCGGATGACTAGACTAGATAAGTTAGGGGTATTATTAAACTGTGTCTCCGAGAAATTATTGTAGACTATATTGAAAAAATCACAACCTGTGATGAAGCCACAGACACACGAAGCGATCTCTGTGCAGCAAAGGCTGAAATTTGTGCGCGTAATGTTGTTGATTTGCGTGGAAGTTGTGTGCATCTTCCTGAGCCCATGATGACTGCATTACTCAGGCTTTGCTTCTCAAGAAACTGTTAGTTTGATTATTTTCATTTGTTATCTGATTTTTGACAAATTTGTCCAACTCCGATATTTTAGAACTTCACCCAAGTACAGTAGATGGAAAAGGCGAGCATGGTTTAAAATTCAGCTACATATTTTTAATATGTAGAATCCATCGCTTATAAAAGACCTGCACAACGTACGTCAAGTGGGCTACATGTGGCCCACGATAGTTTTTTAGGCGACCCGCGAGGTGATTTGAAAATTTTTACTCACACATATATATATATATATATATAAATGTGAGATCGGTACTAAAAAGTTGTAAGGTAATTCTATATAAATTCACCTGAATGTCCGAATTACTGATTCTAATACCATCCAAGTTGCCCACTGTCGTATAATTGATCCAAGTAGGCTACTTTTGTATCCGACGTATGATTTTCATTATGTTTCTTTATTGCACCATATCTCATGCTCTGTAATCATGGCCGTGTCAAACTTTTCTGCTCCCCCGGGCGAGTTTATGATAATGATGCCTCTTATACCCAACTTCAAAAATAATTTACGGGATAAATAAATTAAAGATGTTGTTATACGCGCGAATGAATAAATTAAAGGTCAAGTAAGAGTGGATATCGTATTATTGTGCCAAATCACGCAAGGACCGCACGAGCACATTGGCGGGAAAGGGCAGTCATTTCTGACTCACCGTCACCCCAATCAGCCACACAAGACAATACATATCGAGAAAAAATGTGTAATAATGCGAACTCTACGTGCTGCCCGGGGCGGCTGCTTCTATGGCGCTCTCTGGCTGTAAGAGACAAGTCCTTGGGAGCGCCAGCGATAGTTACGATTTGTTCCAGCATTTTTTAATAAAATCGCAATGACCGGATGAACTTTGAGGAACGGACAAATAAATAATATAGAGTTAAGACAAATGACTATTCATACATTTGTAGCCGCAAATTCGAAACCAGTGCATTGCAAATCTGTATTGCAAACCGATAGTTCCCAATATTCAATTCATTTACCCATGCGGGTAAATGCACGGAGGGCGATATTTCATGTCAATAGCAACACTTAAAAACCTCAATGGGTATGGAGCCGGAGTTCAGCTCCGACATAAAAAAAAAATGGAGCTCTTTGGTTTCAAACCAGCTCTGATTCTAATATGTAATATCCGTCTAACAACGCGCCACGAGTCGAGCAATTAGCGTTAATATATTTCATTCAACTATGAAATGCTGATAGTGTAAAATAAAAATAATAAATACTACGAATTTTAAATTGTGATATTTTTAAACTGTGCAATTTTGATTTCACTGCAAGCACACTTTGATTTGATTTTTTATCTTTGGTATTCATAAAACATCATATAAGTTAATCTTCTCATGTCTCGTCATCGCTCCCGTATAGATATAGCCAATATAGAAACTGGTGATACCACTTATCGACGGCAAAAACATCTACTTACACGTGAAAAGCCTACGTGGATTTCACGCGAACTGATTCAACAAGCCTCCTCGACTAGTGAGGCAGTCGAATAGCAAATAAAGGAGTGCGCTCTTTTCTGTGCAATGAAGTGGAACTCCACACAATAAAGCTGTTGACATAGCGACCCAATCCATTGTTGAAAGCCAGTGGAAAAATGAGGTATAGCGAGATATTCAGACCTAATACCTATAAGAATGATCAGAGTTTCCGGATTACGACATGGACTTGAATTATGTAGTCTATTGATGTTTATTTGACGACAGCTTACATTTAGGATATTCTGGATGAGTAAAATGTGAAAATTATGGAATAAATAGCATTGCATTATTGAACTGTTGTTGGGGGGACTCTAGCTATATGGTTTCAACAGTTCGCCATTATTTCAGTTTAGTATCAATTGATTTCCCTGTCTGGTAGTATAATTCTTCATGGGTTATTTTGGTACAAGAATATTCCCACAGCTTAGGTTTAGTTGTCAGTGAACCCCTATTGTCAGACGCTTATGATGCCATTTTATTAAACCCTATGGTGATCCTGTAAGCCGAATTTGAGAAACTGTGGAACTCATCATTTTTCAATCAATCTATTCCATCTCAATATCGAATATATATTAGAAGTTAGTTTTTTAGATCATCTGCTCAATCAGTTCGCGTACGAACTAGGTAAGAAACAATCCCCGTTTGTAATTTTGAAATTCAATCCAGTCATAATTTCATAATTAGTCCGTCATCGACCAATTATGGTAAAGTATTTGTATTCATTTAGGTATATGCTTTTCATTGTTAAAATATTTGCTTTGATACATTAGCTGAAGAGTGAGAGAAATGCATCGTGCGTATCAACCAATACTGCCCAGTCATAACAGGTTGCTTCAACAAAAGTGGGATGAAACCTATTACAACGAACACAGACGGAAGGTAAACTATTAAACTTAATAAATATGACCATTACAGCTTCTATTCACTAGCACAACTATTCGCAGCTTCTATTTATTTCACGCTGACTCGTAATATGGAGTCGATTACCATCTCTTATCTCAGTGTATATAAAATCGAAGAATTATTAGGAAATTTTAGATTTTACGAATCGAACAAATTTGACAATCGTTGAGCTGGCAAGAGATAGTGCCCTTTTCATAAATTGTTTGCCAGAGCTGTTAGTTCCCGCACCACTCATAGTTTTTCTTTGCTATTACATGTTTTTGAGTAGGTTCCCATAACGCTTTAACGTATAATAAATAATTGGTATACTTTAGGATTCAGTTAGGGAGAACTGATTGCATATGGATAATCCTGGTACATTCAGGAACAAAAACGGATATGTATTTGGACCGCTCCTTTATCATTTTACTTTAAATATATATGTTCAGGCGCTTACATGTCCAAAAATGAACTAATCTCTTCACAGATATCTACTTCTAAACAAAATAAGTTGTTTTGCTTTTAGATAATGAAATTCCTTCAAAAAGATAGCATAGTTATAAAATTTTATGCAACATGTTATAGTTGGCTAACATATATACCATTTTTATTAACAACCAAGCAAAATCAACCAACAATCAGATCATCTTATTGATATGTTTATAACTTTTATGAGCTGAATTACACAACAAAGATAAAATTCAAAAATTGAATATATATTACCCCCGAGTTCCAACACATTTCCAACACGAATCATTTTCAACGCTGTTTTGGGCTTGATTTGAAAAAGTTTTGCATTTTCAAAGGTGCAATCAGCAAGATCGGTTGTTGATACGAGTGCTCCACAAACCTACGTCCATATGCATTTAAAGATGAAAAAACTACAATTGGAAGAAGAAAGGCTGAGTACTATAGAAAGAGATAATCGCATTCTGCTAGAAAAGATGAGTTTTGTTATGCGAACCAGAGGAAGAGTCGATAATAGAAACGACTATCAGAATAGAAGGTTAGATAAATGTTGTGTTTTGGTAAATACTGAAACAGTCTAGATTGCCTGAGCTGTCACGTGAAATTAATCCGGATTCTAACTGCTCTTCAAATACGGTAGCGATTGCTGTCTATGGGAATTTAGTTGATATCAACGCAAATCAATCACTTTTTAAATTGAAAATTCCCTTGATGAACCTATCTAATGTACGCATATTCAATTCTAACAATTGTGCTCGCCGCGTACGTCTCTCTTGCTCTTTTTTTTTTATCTTATTCTTGAAGGAGCAGCTAAGAACAACGCTAAGACAAATCCATTTTGACCTGTATTAGTTTAGATTAGGACTTAGTTTACGCCCAGCGACTCCACGTTTCGCTCTATACAGTAATTGTAAAACAATGCAACCGCAAAAAAAACTAAGAATCTTGTACATGTTTGAATTTAAATGGCGAATAATCCCGTTGTCATATCATTGACCGAGCAGTCCAAAATATTTAACACATACACACTCATATATATATATATATATATATACACAATATGATTCATCACCTCGATACATGGTTTGATTTGAATGCCGTTATCAAACTTAGCACAAGGAAAATGGAACCATATTTGAATTACCTTCATGTATATAGAAGCACCCGGTGGTGACTTCAACAAGTATAAATATCTTTTTCATTTTAGTCTAAATCGAGAAAAACGACAACGTGAACTTCTGCGGGTAACAAGAGAAAATCAATCTATACTAAATCGCATCACAATGCGCGAACCAGAATATAATCACATGAAATGGGAAAAAGAATGGCAAGAAGCAGAAGCTCTCATGGATAATATTGGGAGATATCCTAAAAATTGGTGGAAGACCATTGAGGAGCAAGTTCGTCCGTTTTAGTATAAGTAATGTACAAAATGTACTCCAAGTGTAGCATAAAAGTCAATTATTTGACCTTTAAATGTCACTACCACTACTCCGTTTCTCTAATCTTATTAACTTGGACGTCTTCAAGTCTCAACCCCAATCGATAATCCATGACACGCAATTCATAAAATAATTTTGTATGTTTTCAGTATAGCTGCATCAGAATTTTAATTTATATTAATGAGCTTGCTCACTTCGTAACGTAACTCATATGTTTTTGAACAGCGGAAACGCAAAAACAAACGAAAATCAGGCGTACGCAGTGCTCCGACTGGAAAATCCGAGAGCATGGAAGTAAGTGACAAGGAAAAACCAACAACGGCAGAACCTAGTAAAGCGAAACAGAAAAAGGCGAAGAAAAACGTTAGAATGTCGTCACAATCAAAAGAAAGCTCTTCGAGTAGTTCGGAAGAATCTGACTCTAAAGATAGCAAGAAAAAGGATACAAATTGAATTTACTTAATGATTCGAGTCATTTCGTTTCTATTAAAGACTACTTTTCTGGGGTATTTCCGTCATTTTCTTCATGTTTTATTTTTCATAGATATAAATATAAAACTTACTTATACAGTTTCAACCAATAATTATGTCCATTTAGTAATTACATTAGCAGAAGGATTTGCTTTTCAATAAGCTAGAATATTGTTTGTAGAATTTATGAAATGTATCCCCTGTTTCCCTCTATTTGGCTGTTTTAATCTATGTAAAAAATGTAAAAAAATATCTACATGTTTCACTTTATATATTTCTTAGAAAGTTTTATTGTTGCTGAATCTCAAATTGTTTTAGTAAATAATAGGTATACCTAACCCTGTGCATAATTTTATACCATAATTTCCAGTACAATCAGTGATATCTGACGTTGTTTTGCATTACCGCTATATATTGCAAGATAGAAACAAGACAAAGCTTAAAATGCGCCGAGAGTGAGAATCGTACATCATGATAAACCTTGGACATCATTAAATTCATTTAGTCACAATTGCTTAAGTACGTTCAGGTTGGTTCAAAATTTCGCTGACTATTTTTTAGGCTCGAATATTTTATTTATGATATATTGTTATGAAAGTTGAACGTGTCCTTGATTAAAACCGATTACCATTTGGTTCCAATGATAAGTCAAGATTTGACAAACATTCAGACTTGGATCTTTTCGATTAAATAAGTATGCAATTTGAAATATCAGCTTTGTTCTTTTTTCTAGGCATAGAATATAATTTAAGATTATGAGAATTAAAATTACTTTTTGCACATGTGGGGTGACTGTATGAGTTTATTTTAAATATTTCAGATAACATTTCTTGTCTTTGTATTATATACCTGTGGTATTCTGTAAATATTTGAGTAGATGCAAATATATTTTAAGAAGTATATTTTGTGTTGAATATTCTCTAATAGATGCACAACGTGAATCAAGTCCATTATAGTGAATATAATTGTGTTTTGTGTTCAGTTTCGTTTTTAATGGGTGTTATATGATATAACATTGTCCAAAAAAATCTAATCTTTATTACATCAACTTCAAAAAATAAAAACGGCATCACATATCAGCAGTATCACGTAGCAGAAAAAATTCAAATATTCTCAATTTCAACTTAAAAATCAATCAAGCTAATTACATCGCTTGATGTAGAAGAGAAAAATGACTTCAAAATCAGAACACGTTGCGATGGGGCAATCCAAGTCTTATCCGCTATGGCTATATACGTGTTGTCTGTTACTTTGTTTACCTCCACAAAGGACCACTCAAATGCCTTGTGTCAGTTCATAAGTGTTTCCCTATGATTTCACAGCATTTGAACACTTTAATAACAATGTATATAGTCCATTTTCCATATTGTATTCAGTGTTGTATCAGTCCTGGTTTTACCAAGCATCGGTATTTGTTTACGTTAAGTATGATTTATTTTGGCCTAATTGTCAATTATTGCTTCTGACAATGATTTGGTTGAAACTAGAAGGGAGCAGGTCATTTCCACACCAATTGTCCACTTTACCAGAAGCTGACAAATATCAAAACGTGCACATTACCAAACTCTGATGTTGAACATCCAGATAACGAATAGAAGGATGGAAGTTTGATGACAACGGTATGTCAATTTTAAATCCTTTGGTAAGTCGCTACATCGACGTTCAGCGGCTCAGCGCATGACCGTGTTTTTGACACGGAAATTTTTAACTCCGGAAACTAAAAAAACATTTATTGAGTTACATATATATGAAGAATTATTCATATAATGAATTTGTTTTTGATCCACGGTTACATAGGTGGTGTTCATCCATTGGTAAGGCGCATATAGAGCCTGCGCATATCGTAGAGAAACTCTGAGTACAGAGAAGCGGACATGATCCTCAATATTCCAGATATAAACTGAGAGATCTTCAAAATGAAATCGACAAACTCGAAGCAGTTGGGACTTTTAATATTAAAATATATTGGCGTCAATGTAAAGTGGGATGGCACAGCAAAGCGTCACTCCTGCCTAATGTTACTATAGGTTATCTGAAATTACTTATTTTCTCCTATTATTTATACACCTAATATCTTGATTAATTGAGGAAACCATAAAAACAGCTGGGAATTTCGAGGTCGTTTGCTTCAAACCTTTTAGAATTATCGATACAGTGGGCGCTATAATTTAGCAGGCAAGTTTGAATTTTTCGTCGGACTTTCCAAGTTATGTTGCATCAAAATATCAAGCCTGTAACTATCGCTTCACGGAATAATTCTATAAAATGCCCACTGGTTCGGTAAAAAACAACAAACGAATCAGCTGTAGAAATATTAGTTACATTTGTGCAGTGTAACCTGGATTGTGTCTGGCTGTCAGCCTGCTTTGAAGTGTTTGCTTTGTATTTGGAAATATATATATATATATATAATATCATTACATGTATTTAGAAAACGGAGTACGCATTGTCTTTATAAGATCCAGGAACAGACAGCATATCACCAGAAAATACAACAACAGCAATACAACCAACCACCAGCAATATATTTCATACAACATCATTTTGAAACCTAACACCAAAAATTATTCAAAGACGATTCCCAGACGATACGAAAAAAACCAAGCATTGTTGAAAAAATTAAACAATGCCGTGCTCAAACACATGGACACGAAATGGTGCCGGCATGCAAGCAATCTGTCACAGTAGCATATCAGTACCGTTTGGTAGCTGATTTAAACCTACGCGAAAGCGGGACCGCCACAAAAAAGCAATTTTTAGTTTTAATGACGTTATCGCACACAAAAAAAAACGAATCTCATAGAGGCCACTGAAATTGTTGAAATAAATGAAAGTAATAACCTTCTTAAAAATACAACCTTTTACCACCGAAAGCAATTAGTCAAATAGTTAGTCACCTGGAAAAGATCTCTGCGGCCCATGCTTTTGTCGCGGGTCTTGTGACCGTCTGCAGGGTCGCAACAAGCTCATATTTTACTGGATGTCATTGTCAAGGCGAAGCCCTGGAATATTATACCCACATGACTGTTTTCTTTTTGAACAAAGATATATTCATAATCTTTTAATTGGATGTTCATTTTGAGCAGGAAGAACAGAAAAAATACATGTGCCGATGTTTGGCTCTTTGAATCGTGCAAGATTTGACGGACGCTTCGCGATGAATCCGGACCAAAAAAGCGAAAAGTGTGAATACTCGGCGCCAAGATGTCGTCGGGCCATTAACACCACAAACAGCTTTATGTCGTCGAAAGAGAAATTACGTAATAAACAAACACAACGTCGTTATTTCGAGTTCGGTAAAGCGATTGAGGCGACTGAAAAACCACAAAATTTATCGCAGACCGACAAAAAAGCTTCCGGTGCCGATGCCGGTCCGCGGACCTGTGTTTCGGAACCACTGCTTTAAAACACAGTTTAAAAATTATTAGTCAATATATTATTACCTAGTTTGGTGTCTGAATACTGAGGGTTCGTGTGGATTATTTCATGACTCGAGTGGTACTTAACAGGAAAAAAGATTGAGAACCCCTGGGCCACTCTACATGTTGAAGTTTGTCCCCAATATTTAACCAATAATGTATGTCCTTTTATTTTAACAAAACTTCTGACGGAATTCCCTTCTTTAGTCACATTTTATCAAGCAGTTCGACCGTATCATTTGCACTCCCATAAAACGTTCTAAAAATTCAGAATTTCCTTCATGTTTATCGGTTATTTCAGCTAGCCTACATTAAGACGATGGAACGATAAGTCTACAGTAAACCTTCTCTTTTGAGTTTGCATCAACCTGAACAGCGAATTTTCAGTTTTCAAATCTTACATCTACACTTGCATTCGATAATTGTACAAAACCTTTTAGTTTGTTGAACGGTATTTGAAGTTTTTCAAATAATTCCCACATGACTTCTATTTTTGGTGTGCTTTAGAATCTGAGATACATCTCGTGCCAAAACTAAATTCAATCGCAATTTCAACATATTCCATGAGCAATTTCTTCAGCTAAAACATCAAAATTTGGTTTTAGTTTGGTTGTAGGCTGTAGCAATTTAGAGCAAGGATTTAAATTTCTTCTTTAAAACAGACACGTGGAATGTCGAGCATTCCTAGTTATAGTTATTGTAGGCCTGTTGCAGTGACTTGTGAAATGGGAGACAAAACAATTTCAAATGATTCTTGGAGCTTTTCGAATGTCCGGCAGAATTTTATTATGGAGATCATTCAGTAGTTTGCTGTATTTCATAGCATGCTTGGGAGCGTGGAAAAAAAGCGCAAAACAATTGTTAGATAACTGTTCTGAGAATAAAGTCAATTTCGAATTGAAAGAATTAACATTGCTGGTGTAGCCTACATTTCTCGAGCAAAGAGTATTTTTCTTGCAGCTTTACATTCACACGACGTGACAAGCGCACGAGGCGGAAGAAAGATGTGTGAAAAGCACGCCGTGTAATCGAGTGAGCAAGAAAACGTAAGGTTTTTGTTAACGTCTGTGGCAACCTAAAATACAACTTACACAGGCTACGATCATAATCTAACAAGCCTATTGCACTATAGAGGACTTGTACGGGTCACGTGACTTTGTTTACTGGACGGCAAAAAAAAACAAAAACGTCCAGCTCGCTCCTATCAGTTGCAAGTCGGATTGTACGTTTCCGTTTTGTTTGGCTGTTGAAAATGTTTATTTCGTATTGTTCCGTTGGCTGTACGTATAGTATACTATAGACAACGAAATGGATCTTCAGTTATATTCCACTGTTTTCAAAAGATCTGGAACGTCGCGCAATGTGGATATCATCTATTGGCATGACTGCTTGGTGCCAAGTCCAGAAGTCATCTCGCTTGTTTTTCACTGTTTGCGGACAGCACTTCGTTGATGGTGAGTGATAATGTGCCGTTACCAATTTCTTTAAATATTCACAAGCTCTTTCATTTCAATGGAAAGCAGATGACAAACTACTGTTATTGGTAGGCGTAGGCCTACTTGCTTGTCTACTTGCAGACTTGACTTGTGTAAGGGATTAATCATCAATTGTCATAAGGTATTGTTTACCTAGTTAGCAGGTAATCTATCAGTAAGTGTGAAAAATCCTATTCTAAAAACTACCGTTATTGGTAGGCATATTTGCGTTTTAAATTGAAAGAAATCTTCATCAATGGTCAGAAGGTGTTGTCTGATTGTTTCGTTAGTTAGCAGGTAATCTATTACTAATCTGAAACTCAAACTCGGCATTGTCAAATGATGATTAGTGTGTAATTTTTTTTTCAGGGGGTGGTCAACCCCTGGCACGCGTGCCAAACTTGCCACGCGAGCCCATTTATTCGGCACGCGAGCGAGGCCTCGGAAACGAGATCATTCTCCTGTAGATAAAAAGGTTTAAGACTATGAATTATCTGATGAAAATAGGTGTTCGTTTGTGTATTATCGAATGTTAACTATCTGGTATTTATTTAAAATCTTTTTGTCCTTTCATGACATATGGCTACAAAGAATAGATATAACGTAACAAATGAGTGAGCTCTCGCGAAATTTTGTCGAGAAAAGCTCAGCATTCATTTGGCTACACTCTTACGTAATATAGATCGTCTGTGCCACCCTTTTTGATTCATTTCTGCTCGATTTAAAAGTTGTACAGCCCACGTTGGTTATAGTCACTTGCTAACTTACTGTTATAAATTGATTTCGAAAGAAATAAAACGATTAGGGAAGGTATCAAGGGAGAAGTGCACAAAACGTACTATTGCTTGCGTGATTGGGATGCCATTCCCGAAAGGTTTCCGTGTCTTAAAAACTTTGCAACTGCATTACTCTACAATTCTACATATTTTCATCTACATATGCTTGTGAATCTCTGTTCTCAGTTATGAACTTCATTAAGTCTCGTAATAGGAGTAACCTGTAAGAT